GGGGGGGGGGGGGGGGGGGGGGGGGGGGGGGGGGGGTCTCATGACCTCTAAAAATCCTGGCTGTGGCCTTGGCTTTGTATGGCTCCCATATCACAGACATTAGAGACTGCAGTGTCCAGTTTCTTTGTGACATCAGCCCTGGTTTCTGGATAAGAAAGCTGCCGTCTCAAAAAGGGAAATCTCGGGAGTAGGGGTGCATTTTGCTCAGTATTCTAAAGATGCATGTGCTTACGGTTGTCTTGCAAAAGAATTACAGAAAGAATTATCGCTACTTATGGACAAATGCGTTTCAGCAGATAGTAGAGAAGACAGAAGCAGAAGCCGCTTTTTAAAGGAGCATTTTTTTCACTGCCATTGCTTGCGGAGAAATGAAGCGCGGAGGGTAGCAAGGAAGTGCTTAAAGTGACACCAAAGCTGGGCCTTGGCAAGCAGCAAGCTAAGCCTAAATGCCTGACTAACAGGCAACAGATAGAGTTGCACACTGCTTATTTCTGAGTCAACGCTCTGTAATCTCAGCTCTCTGCCTGCACCTGCCTCACACAAACACGTACACATGGTTAGATTTACTATATGCATTGTGTGCGTGTGTGTGTGCGACATGAGCACTGTTGGTGTGCTTGTGATATGGGAATATGTGTAAGCGTTCGGCCTCATTTGGACACAGAATGAACCACACGGTGTCACACCGCGACAAAAAAAAAAATCAACGGCTACGGCGAAAAACAGTGAGATGGGATGGGACCGCAAAATAGACACACGTAATGTAACTCACAATTAAGCATCACTCAAATCCTGCATTATCATTATTAATCCAGATTTATGTTTCGCCTTACTCGCGGTGTGACGTATCATCGGCCTTTATGGATAGAATAAACCATAAAGAGAGACAACAGGGTAAGGCTGTTTTTGACATCCACTTGTGTTCTCCAGTATCTTCCTTTATTTTAAGTGCTTGTTATTTTGGCAACTATAAATTATCTGATCAAATCTTCAATTTGAAATCCTACTTCCACAGAAAAACTAGGTGACATGTTTTGTTTCAACGCCCCAGAGGCCTTTGGCATATGACGATACCTTGTCTCGCAGTGGTACAACGTACCCTTCTCCATAGGAGTGTAAACTAAATGCTGGCTTTGTTTGACCGTCGCAGCTCGCGGGCTTAAAGCCGCGGTGTAACTGGATCAGATCAAACAGGATGGGTTGCCCAAAACGCTTGGCTCTAAATTTGGCTTAAAAAAACATAATAATTGGCACAAAAAAAATGTAAGCAACTTGGCAGGACGGGTGCACAAGCAAGAGGCAATGTTTCAAAATATTTCTCAAATTATTTCCAAAAATGAATTTGTCTTTCTTGTAGAAACTAAATTTCTTCAACGGTGTTCCTCCAGGTCCCAAAAGAATTATTTATGAAATTCCCTCTGCCCCGTCTAAATTCAGTGCAGTCAGTCTCAAACTAGCCCATTCGAGGAACATCACCAGTAATGTATTATAGAAAAGATGAAGCACTAGCCTGCGGTTACAAGGGCCCGCTGCAGTTTCGGCAGAGTTTCTACATTGCCGTGCCATCCCGGTTGTTTTGGAGGCGCAGTTAAAGCGTTGAAATGTTCTCAAACAGCAGCTATTACTGTTACTGGTACGGCTCACCGTTAAAGCACACGGACTACACAGAGGGTGTGAAAATGTCAATAGTAGGAATGATTATCATGACAACTCTGTCTCAACATTTCAATTCAGTGACGTTTAAGAGCAAACAAATAGAAGCTACAGGGAAGAAGAAAACAAATGGCAGAGACTGTATGATTCCACCCACACACCATTACTTGCTGGTGAAGGTTAATATTTGATCCCCCAGTTCGGTGGGAATAATTCTCAACACAACTGGTGATTTTATGTCCAAGGACAGTTTTCCAGCCTCTCTTTAAAAATTGCCCTTCAGTCATATTGCATTATCTGTATTCATGCTTGTCATGCTTCTTTTTAAGCTACCACCCATCCAGAACGCTTTGTGTCAGGTTGGCAAGTACATTTTTTTAATTTGCTGGTTAGATAGAGCAGAATTCTTGTATCTTATTGCCAGCTCTGCTGCTCTACAATCTAAACGTCGTGGAATCGGTCTATACATTAAACGACAAGTTGTGTGAGAATAAGAAATAACTTTCTGGCGCAGAGATTTGTATACCCGCGGTGGGGCCCCAGGTTCGACCGAAACACGAGCATTTCATTGAGGGATGGAAATCTCTCTTTGGGGCTCCTTCTCTGATCGCTCTGGTGTTCGTTCCATAGTGGCAAACAATATGGAGGGCACTTGCTTTGATAGCGGAGGGTGCATGAGGTATAAGGGGCAGTGTGGGTTGACAGTTCCTAAACGAGGAGAGAAGCAGCGGGGCAAGGTCCTCCCATCGCAGGAATATATATATATATATATATATATATATATATATATATATATATATACCTGTCTGCAGTTCAAAGGTCGAGCGATCCTGCTGGCCACGACATCAAGTCCGTAGAGGTTCAGTCCGTCAGAGTCTCTGTCACACGGACAAAAGCCGCTCTGCTGTGATGCACATCACCATGTCCGGTTGGACTCTCATCAGTCGTCAGAAGGCGATTTGTGGTGCTGGTAGACTGGACGATGAGCGAGGACGAGAAGAATGTGTGTGTGCAGGGGGTGGGGGGGGGTGGACAAGTGAGTGTCGTTGATGGCACTGTGGTCCTCAGAGCGTCCATCTGTGAAACAGAGTGGGAGGAGAATTAGACTGAGTCACCCCCACCACCCACCTCCCAAGGCTGTTTTGTTTTTGTAAAGTCGATGCATGAAACCAAAGCAGGCAGCTCCAACTTTCATTCCAAGGTAAGTGGGAGAACGGAGGGTGTTCAGTTCAGAGCAACGGGGCTCACACAACAACGGTGTTGGTGTTCAAAACACTGAGGATCAAACTGAAGGAAGTGCACATTTACAGCAATCCCTCCTATTTTGGGGTGTATTCTCTTTGGTACACGCATTCGGTATCAGCTCGACGACACTTTTGGGCAAATAAAGAATGAAATATTCAGCGTCTGTTTCTCTGGTGGCATTCATTTTACATACTGTTTTAGATCATTCATAATGAATGCCTTGCGATATTGCACACAAGTGGGAAAAGGCATGATAGAGCATGCAGATTTTTTTATTCTCACAAAAGTCAAAAATTGTGTCTCTTTAGGTATCTGAAGGTTACACTATATTTTCCCCCTCAGCTGCGTGTTGGCATTTAGCAGCACTAAAGGTGAACAGGCCTTGATTTCCATCTTTTCTCGTTATTAATTACTCTCATTCAGAGCACTCGCCTCATGTTACCGCAGCTTGAATTGGTCTTCAATTGCTCTTGAATACAATTTCATTAAATTAGCAACTCGAGGAGTGCATCATTACATTTGGTATTAATGTGATGAATAAATCCTTTGACATGATAGACATTTCCATTCTGAAGCTCGCCAAACTCAAGCAACAGGTAATTTTCCTGTAAAATGAGAGAAATACATGTGGAACAAATTAGAAAATTGTTGGCTTAACACATGCTCCGGCAAGAAATGCATAAAAAAACTTATATATGCATGATTTCTAGTATTTTGTAATTTCTATTAATATATTTTACTATCTAAAATCGAGTCTTAATATGTTATTTTAATGGTATTAACAAGTGGGCTTCCCTCCTGGTCCACTATCCCTTTTAGAGGCTTTTCAGAGTCAGTGGCCCTCCATGTGGCATTGAAATATGCTGTCTGTCACAGTGGGGTTAGGACACTCTATTCATGCACTCTGACATTCTTTTTGGATAAAAATGAACCTGCTTGTTTGACTACTGTCTGTATGAGGGCACAGGGTGTTGAATCAAGCATCACATTGTGAAATTCCGCTGAAGTGATCAGCCTTATTGTTAGCTACGCTGGACTGGACAAAACATTAAATAACCCTTTTGCCAGAATTTTCCCACTTTTAGGCTGATAAGACTAAATATGAATAATAACATATTTAATAACTAAATATGAATAATAACATATTTAATAACTAAATATGAATAATAACTTAACTTGGTAAAGAACATTTTAGAATTAAAGGAGGTAATTTCAAATAGTTCTGAAATACATGCTGGGAAGTGAGAAACATCAAAAGAGAAACACTAAAAGCGATTGATTACTACAACAACAAAATATCAATGAATAAATCTGTGCAAATTCATACTTAAATACGGAGTCTGCACAACTACATAAGCATGTTTGTCGGAGCACACTGGGGTAAACCCACCTCATTTATTTTGATTGCGGATTCGCAGACACCTCCTCTTTAGCGGCGGCTCCAGCTCAGCAGTCCCGTCTGCTGACAAAGGGGCACTGATGGAGCAGGACAGGATGGCCGTCTTGTCAGCGCCGGGCTTTGGCACAGGCTGAATGACCACACAGCCTCCGGTGGACAGCAGCGGCAGGGCATATGCATGCTCACCCTCCTCCATGTTGGAGTCAGGATCTGGCTTACCCTCCACTGTGTCCGCTATGTCGTCTTGCACCGAGCCCCGCTTCCCCGGCTCCCAATCTCCAACTGAGCAATTGTTCTCTTTCAGTGCCTCGTGCTCCAGCTCACCATTGGCTGGCTGCTCCTCGGCCTCTCCTTCTCCTGCAACACTGTCTCCTCTTCGGTCAGAGTAAGACTCAAAGGCAGGAGCGAGAAGCGAATGCCACCCCGTACCATTGACTATGACATTACACGGGGCAGCAGGCCTAGCTTGGAGGTGGGGCAGGGTTTGGGGCTGGGTCCGTGCTGTGCTGGGCAAGGGTGATGGGGTACGGTTAGAGATACAGGGAGTTAGCTGGCTCACTGGAGGATCATCATGGAAAGAAGGGCTGCTGTTGCTGGAGGGAGGGCCTGATGATTCCAGTGTGTTTGGGTGTGTTGCCCCTTCCAGCTCTGTGGTACAGAGGAGGCCCTGAGAGAGGGCCCTTTCCACCCCATCACGACTGCTCTTCCCTTCCCAACTAAGCCCAGCAGCTGGTGGAGATCTCGATTCCGCCTCTGCCTCCACTTTGACCTGGACTCCAGGTAGCATCCTTTGAATTACCTGCTGTTGGCATGGCCTCTGGCCCACAGTTAGATCAATAACCCCCTCCGTCGGTGCAGGGCCGCTGGTTAGACATGTGTTACCCGAATTGTCCTCTGCCTTGACAGTCAAGTCCACCAGCGCCATCCTGCTTCTCTCTGAGCGTACAGGAGAGAGACGCTCTGCAACAGCGGGCTCTACTTTCTGCTCCCCTCTGTCATCTCCAGAGGACCCTGGAGAGTGGGGCCAAGAAGCTGAAGCCTCGGAGGACTCTGGAGCACTGTGGAAGTTGCCCCAGCTGTCTGGCTGGTACCTGGAAGTTTTGGGGTTGAAGGGGATTGGGATTGGGATTGGAATTGGGATTGGGACTGGGAGTGGTACAATGACAGGGTAAGGGACCAAGAGAGTTGGTGGAGGTACCAATGGCGACAAGGACGGCATGCCAAAGTTCATCATTGGGGGCAGAGGAATGCGTCCATTGGGCATCATGTTGACTGGGGGGAAAGGGGGCATGCCTGGCATTGAGAGACCAGGGTGGGGGGGGCATCATGCCAGCATTGGGATTGGACATGGGGTGGACATGGGGAGACAGCAGGGGCCTGTGCATGGGGCTTGATGCTGAGCCCATGGACCTAGGGGGAGGTGGTAGACCAATACCAGGGATCATAGGGTTTGACAGGGGGCTATGGGGACCCCCTGGGTGGACAGAGGGCCGAAGGAATGGTGGACGCATCTGCTGTATCATTTGATGCTCCATGAACAGCGGCAGGGGCATGGGTCCCCGGGGCGTCATCACCATGGGAGGGCTACCGGGAGGAACCCCGACAGGTGGGTGCAAAGTGTGAACAGGCGGGGGGTGAAGTGTGGGGCTCTCGTGGGGTCTGGGTGTGGGGATCCTGGCTGAGGAGGATAAAGACGGGGAGCAGTGGGTAGCAGTGTCTGAGGGTGAGGCGGCAGAGGATGTGGAAGGGGCCAATGCAGAGGTGGTGGAAGGCCCCCCTGGTGAGTGAGCCTGATGCCGCAGGTCCGTTAATGGAGTCCCCCAGGATTCAGGAGTGAGCAGCTGCACCCCTCCACCGCACTCCATCTTACCCTCCCCACCCATCCCGTGACCTGGGTTACACAATACTCCGGGCAATGCAGCCTGGGTCTCCTTGTAGAAAATGTCCATCTTATATTGGTTCAGGCATTTGGCACTGCAGAACTGCAGCCTCCGCTCACCAGCACCAAAGTCCAGGTACTCCTTAGTGTGGCGAATATGTTTGCACCAGTCACACACCTGTGGCAAAAAACACACACAGTACACACACCGCATCAGCACCTGTCACACTGCATACAAAAGACTTCTAATTTGTTTGTGATGAAATGCAACATAATCTCCTCTGAAGTGACCTGGTAAGCAGAAGCTCAGCCTCCAAACCAACTGGACAAAAAAGATTATTTTTACTGAAGCTGTCTCTAAATACTTTTACAAATCTGTCAAGAGCAAACACGTAACTTTGCAGTTTGTTGAAATGTATTTAACTTATGTAATGTAGGTGTGTGTATGGTTGTGCATGTGCCTGAACCGATGTGTTGTTACTGAGAGGTAAATGTGCACATGATGACATTCTGCTCTGCTGCTAAGTGGTATTGAAGTGACTTTGTCTTTAACTTTCTGTCCTAACAAGGAATGCCCATTTACACCTGTCGGCAATAAAAAACACTCTCAGTCTCATTTAACCACAGATCCCTCAGAGCCTGACGCCCCAAGCACAACAAGACAAAAAAAGATGATTTCCCTCAAATGGCATTCCGCACTTGGTATTGAAGTGTGTGCCAACTGGAAGGCAGCCATTAAAGTTAAGTCACTTTAAATGCTAGGGGATTGACTGATTGATCGATACTGAATTACACAGAAAAGAGGCACCCAAGTAGCTTGATGCAGACCTTGCTTATTTTGTCATTTAAGCCCTGAAGTTCACCAAAAAAGCCCAAGTGTGGCTAAAAGCTGACACGGTATCTATTATGTTGTTGTTTGTTGTTGTCTTAGTCCTGTGGATAAATGGCTGAACATACATGATGGGACTATATTAGTGACCACTGCAGTGACGATTATTACTGAAAATGTTTCACTGATTTAAAACCTTAATGATATGTGTGATGTTTTGTATAAGAGCCTCCTTCAGAATAAAATGACAGTGCGCATGTGTTATGTTCTCGACACAACATGACAAGTGTTTCCATTTACGCATGTCGTAATGTAAAGTAACACAAATGCATATTGTCTTAAAGAGGATACTCTGCAAACGGGCTGTATTGTGTTGAAAACAGCATTGTTTTCAAAGATAGAACTGCAATTTCAGACCAAATGTTCAACATTGTTACAAATCTGTTATATTCAGAAGCCTCAAAATACCACAATGCAATGCAGCCATCTTTTATACAAAATACTCGTGCCTTTCCACATACATGTAAATAGACGTTTTGTCACAATGAAGGTCTATCTTTTTAAATTGTTCATCCTACGTTACTGTAACTTTTAGAGTGACAAGATCACTTTCAGATACACCTTTTAGAGTCATATTAGGGTTTGTAAAATGTGGTCAACGCCAATCAATACATTTTGCCAGTTCAGTTTTCAAACCACGTTTCTCGTCACATATTGCGCTTAAAGGCAGGACCACTTCTGTATGCAGCGAGTAAAACACGAAGGGGCTCAATTAAAAAGTTGTCTTTCTTGCTCACTGCAGTGGCAAATATCCCGAAACACCCCGCTGCACTGTTTCATCACTGTTCTACACCTTTGCAGCACAAAAAAATGCACATTTTCCTTTGGGAAGAAAATGAATGTGACCCTGGTAGAGCAGATAGCAGTGGGCGAGCCCCGAACACGACGTTACTCGTCAGGCCACACACAGCTCACTCTGTCAGCTCCGGGAGGAGTGGCAGGTCCTCGCTGGAGATAATTAAGGCATTAATCAGTTGTCAGACCCCTCAACGACATCCATCCATCACACAGACCCTTTAGCCCCCCTGCTGAATGTTAATAAGTTGAGGGATGCAACCGGAAGGCGGACAAACTCCTTTTTTGCAACGCTGCATAGCAACCTTGGTTTATTTGGCAGGATCCCGTCTGGCAGCAGCTGAAAGACAGTGGACTTACATGGGCCGCTCGGGCAGACGCACTGTAGCATCGGCCAGGATTTGAAAAGAATACATAGCATGCTGTCCTGCAGCTGCTACACGTGTAAAACATCAGGTTCTTTGCATCCAATGTGTGTTTTACATCTGACTCTCTGAATAAAGCAGAAGCAAAAGGACAAAAGTTTCAAAAGATGTACTGAAGTTCTGCATTTGTCATAATTCATCGTGCAGTGCCGCTGAGGAGGGACGACGTGCACAAACGCAATTTAGGAGGAATTTCTTGCACCAACACTTGAATGGAAGTCGGGACGAGCAGCTGGAGAACACGAGGAACCGCAGCAGCAGAAACAGATCAGAGACTGGACTGCATAGCGGGCGCTGTGCTTAAACAGCTCGCTGGCGGCGCTCAGATGTCGGTGCCTCGAATTCGACACGTTTCAACTGCCCATTTAGTCCTGGCTAATTCAATGAGCCGTGACTGAGTAAAAGTCAAAAAGGTGCTCTCGCAAGTTGAGTTTGATAATGGTAGGCCCAGAATATTTTCAATAATGAATGTGCTAAAATTTTCTCCTCGACTGAGAAAGACAGATGGAGAGCACTTAACGACTTTCTGCACTTTGAGTGAAATTTCACTGCGCATTACGCTAATGGAGTTGTGCTTTCTCTCTCTCTCGCTCGCTGTCTCTTTCCCCACCACCACACAGATGTTTGCAGCTGAATATAATTATGCTCATTTATTTCCGTCGTGGCCAACGAACCGGCGGCGGCGGCGGTGCAGTTTAACCGTTTGCATTACAACAATTAGCGCACTTCCATGTACGTATATAGTGCAACCACCTCGGCAGTCGGCGCTTTCTTCCGCCCTCTCACCCTCTGGCCCGGCTAGTGTCCAACCATCTTAGATGAGCACGTCAGGTATGGCCGTTATCACAGTTTCAGGGGATTGGATGAAGAGCGTTGAAAAGCGGAGTTGACGGAGCAGGTTGTGGACCAACAGGTTATCAGAGGAGGATGAGAGAGAGTTTCAGGTGGCAGAGAAGAGGAAGAGGTTGCAGATGTTGAAGAGATCGCAGAGGATGTGGAGGATTCCGATAATGAAGAGGAAGAAGAGGAGGCGGTTGCGGAGGGTTAAGAGGCTGAGCAGAGATTTTGAGTTTCACTAGAGGCTGTAGTGCCTGAAGTGGTTTTATATGTAGAACGAAGAGGTTTAAGCAGCATGAGCTTAAGGTCGATATGTGATTCTTTTGACACTTCTCGGATTGCTGCTATAGTCGCAAAGTGCAAAACACAAGGATTAAACCCAGGAAAAAATGAACCAGGTGCTTGGAGCGAGACAGTCGCTTGGTTTTTACTTGGACTGTCTCACGCACATCAATGACGGCAAACAGAAACACAGTGCTTGTTGCATTGCGGATCCGGTCCAAAAACTAGAATATGGAGCGAGACACTGCAAACTTAAAGCACCTGGTCCGCCGGGAAAAGAAAACAGAACAAAGCTCCCACTTACGTTTACAAAAGAAAATGTAACTTTGGCAACGCTTAACAGAACATCTGCAACATGTGGACTGAAAATATAATTTCACAGTGGCCTCATTTATCGGAATATCTATCCGGATGGTTCTAATTATCTGGCTTACAAAAAAAGGGGAAACATATCTGGTTTGTGTGCTTTCCCAGTCTTTTAAATTGGCTTCACCGTGTAGGCTACCTGATGCCTTCGTTAAAAACCTGAATGGCGCGTGACAAGTTTAAACTGCAGATGAAAGCCCAAGAAGAGCAGAGCTACACTCCCCGTGAGGCTTCTCTTATCATAGCCAGCCATCGGCCATCGGTCATTATAGACGTGACACACAAAGGCCGCTCTTACTTGGCCAGGTGAACCTCTAATCACACACTTGCGTGCGCACAGAGAGCAGAATAACTCCGGCCAGCTATAAGAATGATGAGACCGACCTGGTGGACCGTCTTTGAACGTCGCCGCAGCAGACTGGACCGCTCAGAGACTAAAGATCTCTGTTGGCATGTGGCTGTCTGGTGCTATGTTTGCTTTTCCACACGTGGGACATCTTCACTTAAAGCAAGACTTTGACTTAATGTATATCTCACTTGTTTAATCCGTGCAAAAAACAAGTAATAAAAGTGACACACTGTGGTTTTAATAGGGATTATGTGCTTTTGGCTTTTTTATGGATTAAACAAATGAGGTTATAGTTGGTGGATTTCGTTGTTCAGACGGAGTTACGATTTACTGTAGTTTATGACATTTATTTGTCATGAGGGCTATGTCCAAAAAACATGAACCTCATATGTGCAAGATATGTATTGTACCAGATTTAGCTACTAGATCATTTCAGTCTCTGTGCTAAGCTAAGCTAACCAGCTGCTGGCTGTAGCATCGTATTTAGCTTTAGCTTAATTTAAATGTGCAAGAGGTATTGATCTTCTCATCTAACTCTCAGCAGAAAGGGCAAAGAAAAACAATTCCCAAAATGAACTAACTATAGATTTAAAGGAGAATTTGGGTCAGTTACCACTTGGGTCTCTTTTTGTACGTTACTTCTGGCCATCATTTCTATCGGTTGTGATAACATTGTACCCACCAACGTCATTTATGAGATCAGGAAACACAGCAACAATGCTCGAAGGACGTCCGATGGGGCAAGAGGTAAACGGTCAGACAATAAACTGTCAGTGTAACAAGATTATCTAGAAGTTAAACTGAATGTCAACGAATATGCAATTTGGGGTATAATTTGACGGTTTGAAATAGTTTTTAATCCAGAAATAATATTTGGCTAATCCGTCGGTGTGTTTCAAACCTCAACGGTTGACTGCTTGTTTTTCTTGCACCATCTGACTTCTTGTTCGTGATGCTGCCACAATCCAAGATCCCAGCCATCAACTTGATGAGTACGATGTTATTATTAGACATATAGAATACCATAGAAATGAAAAACTATAAAAAAATAAGTGCAAAATTGTAATACACTTCCAAAAGCATATGTTATGTGCCATGTATACTTTATATATAAAGTATAATACAATACTCAATAAATATTAAACATAAATAAGTAAATCCTTAGTTTCTTTGTCTGATAACTCCTAAAAAACCCAACACAAGTCACTGAATATGAATGGTACAATGAAAATGAGCAAAGCAAATAAAAACACATGGAAAAAAATTTGTGAAAAGCTCAAACTGAAACATGGGCAAACTTTATGTAAAACTTAGTGTGCTGTGTCTTATTTCTTGGGCTGACCTGAGTCTGATGGTTGATGTCTGCTATTTACAGTAATGCCCAAAATATGAACTGGTCTATTGAAATGTCAGGAGGAAATGAGTTGAAAATGATACACTTTGAACAAAGAAACAACATCAAAACACATTTGTGCAGTAGCAATCAAGCTTAAACTCTGTCTGGTGTTAGAGGGTTATGGTCCTTACAAGCACATCGCTGTTTGTCTTGAAGACAAGCCTGGGCGTGTCCTGAGTAAAGCTGTGCTGGGGTAATTTCCCACCGAGGCCACCGTCGTCTCTCGCCTGGGGGGGAGAAATAATGGCTTCTTTTTACGAATGGACAAAATAAACAGGTGAACAGAGGCAACAAGGAAACTCAGAAATGGAAAACAACACTAAGAAAGATGAACAGAAATGGTGATTGTAAAATGGGTGAACAATAATTGGTTTGTGTTCAAACCAATCAACAGGATTGTCAAACAAAACTGTGTGTGTGTGTGTGTGTGTGTGTGTGTGTGTGTGTGTGTGTGTGTGTGTGTGTGTGTGCATGCATGGTTGAGGAGTCTGCAAGGCACTTAGTTTAGACATTCAAAGTGCTGCCTGCTAACACAGCAGTGTGTTCAATCAAACACCCATTTATTTCGGACAAACATGGAAAATCAAACACATTTAAGAAGTTAGCTACACTAACTATGAATAATTTGAAATATATGGGATGTTCTGAAATTAGCTGATACGTTGAATGTCGACGTCGAAAACATTGTGTGTGATAGTCTCTCTCAAACACCTACTCAGCATCAGTATTCGTCTCTGTAATTATCTCAGTCCTCAGTTCAAAAGCCAACATTTTTTGAAAAAAAGATAGATGATCGATAGATGATTGCCAGAATTCACAACATGATTTTATCAAACGAAATAATCTGCTTCAATGCATATTTGTTGGTGTTTAGCAGGCGGCAACCTCCGGTTCTGCTGAGTGAAGCCAATGCTGAAGTGTCTAAAAACTTCCGTTCTCTCTACTGACCAGCAGGGGGCGACTCCTCTGGTTGCAAAAAGAAGTCTGATTCTATAGAAGTCAATGAGAAAAAGACTCTACTTCTCTCTTGATCTATTACCTCAGTAAACATTGTAAACATGATGGTATGGTCTTATTCAATACAGCATGATGTTCATTTAGTAAATTATGGTGTATTTGTGACAGGTCGCTGCCGCTACCAGAGACGTGTTTTGCGTCACTACGTTACTCCTCCGCAATTCAAATATGGTAACTTCCGTGCAAAAAACAACAACATGGCGACGGTTGTAATACAAGATCGTGACTGCAAACTCGAGGCTTCATAACTGCAGTCCACAAACCAATGAGTGACGTCACAATGACTACGTCCACTTCTTATATACAGTCTATGGCGTTGAGCCTTTGGAAAACAACATTTTCACTGCGGTCAAAAAAACAGTTTACTCTCCTGCAGGCACCTAGATTAGCAGAGCCGGTTAGCAGCAATCTTTTTTGTGGAATCTTTTGCTTTTATTGGACCGACGTAGTGACAGACCGGAAACTGGGAGAGAGAGCGGGGTACAACATGCAACAAAGGTCCCACGGTTGTTTCCATGCTGCGTAGCAGGATGAGCCTCCTGAATTTGCACCCAAATGCTGTCAAGACTTTCAACTACACACTGTTAAGAATTACGGTGGATTTTCAACGGTATCTTACAGTATTTCATAATAACTGTAACATACAGTTACATGTTCATCCCTCGCATGTAAATGAACAGTTAATGCCGTAAACAGCAGACTACCGTAATTTAACAGCATGATACAGTATTGTTTGTGAAGAGGTGGATACACGCTTCTCTATACAAGTTCAATGAATCACAATCCATCTACATCGTACTGTCTATTGTAGGTTAATATGTCTGTAATGACGATAGAATATTTCTATTATTCAGACTGCTTATTGCAAGTCATTTTTGAGTGACAAGACGTGACCTGAACGTGACTTTGGACACAACAGCATCAGTTCATCCTTCTGAGCACTGCGGTCAAGTCAGCAGACACTCAGATCTCCGTGGTCAACTCAGCAGACACTTAAATTGTAGTGCACATATACGCTGAATCTTACGGTAAACGCAACCAAACGGCACAGATCGGGAGCGAGCGAAGAACTTTGCAAAGTTAGCGGAAAGATTAACGTGAGACAACTTCCGGTTTTCTACAGACGAACATCCGGTTTTCAGAATAAGATGCCAACAAAGTATACATATTGCATAATGAAATGAGATTAAATGAATTATATTCACATTAAGTATAAAACATGCTACCTGCATCTCCTGAGTTAAAGGGAAAATACACCTAAATTGTGCGTAAAGTGTCTTTATTCTTTGATTTGAGGGTTGCTGGAAGTTAATAATACCTGACTGACGGTCAATTAAGATATTTTACGAAGCAAAAGCTCTGAACTGAATTTGTATCTTCAAATGGCACATTTGCTATAAAAATGTTTTTCTCAATAATTCCACACAACGACTAATGCATATATGTTCAGGACAAAAACGGGTAATATCACAATATTTAAGGTGCTACAAAAATATTTTTCTCAATAATTCCAGACAATGACTGACATGTATGTGTTGGGGACATCGTTGACTCCACCCATACTGAATATTAGACATTTTTACTGTACCAATTAAGAGATATTTCAAATTAAATCTCATACATTTGAACTGAGAAAACGTCTAATAACTGAATATTTGAGGTGCTATAAAAAATATTTTCTCAATAAGTCCAGACAATGACTGATATGTATGTGTTGAGGACATCGTTGACTCCACTCACACTGAAAATTTGACATTTCTACTGTACCAATTAAGAGATATTTCAAATTAAAACTCATACATTTGAATCGAGAAAATATCTAATAAATGAATATTTGAAGCGTAATAAAAAGTATTTTCTCAATAAGTCCAGACAATGACTGATATACATTTGTTGAAGACGTCGTTGACTCCACCCATACTGAAAATTAGACATTTTTACTGTACCAATTAGGAAATATTTCAAATTAAAACTCATACATTTGAATTGAGAAAATATCCAATAAATGGATATTTGAAGTGTAATAAAATGTATTTTCTCAATAAGTCCAGCCAATGACTGATATGTTGTTGGCATCTTATTTTGAAAACGGGATGTTCGTCTGTAGAAAACCGGAAGTTTTCACGTTAATCTTTCCGCTAACTTTGCAAAAGCCTTCGATCGCTCCCGTCCTGTGCCGTTTGGTTGCGTTTACCGTAAGTTTCAGCGTATAGGTGCACTACAATTTAAGTGTCTGCTGAGTTGACCACGGAGATCTGAGTGTCTGCTGACTTGACCGCAGTCTTCTGAGCCATGTGGAGGTCAACCGAGGAGCTGAGCTAACTTACGCTTGTCATCCGAAATTCAAAGTCTCCAGTATTGTTTTGTCTTCATGATTATTGAACTGTTGACATCGCAGATAATGTTTCACTTGGTCTGTTTCATTACATTAGGTTGCTTATATTAGTGGAGCTAACGTTAGCTAGCTCGAGCTCAAGTTAGCTAGCTAACAGCATAGCAAGTTAAGTTAACATAAATAAAGTCAATCACAGATTACAGTGTTAAGATGTAACGTTAGTAACCTAACTTGTGTTTACTTGTGCTCTTATTGAACCGTTGGAATGCAAACGGGACGATTATCAAAAGGGAGAGCGGACCAGAAATCACCGACGTGTTCAAGACGATGAACAGTTGAGGTAACGCTAACAGTAACGTTATGTGTGTGTTATCCCAGGAGCAACATTAAACCAGATCAAACTCATTTTATTGTTGAACGTTAGTCCATTGTGGTCCATTGTCTTAGCTTCATTTCTTCACCTTAACGTAATCAGCTCATCACATAGTCTGTTCATTTAAACTGTATGGTATTGTTGTATTAGCTTGTTGTAAAGACTTGCACTGATATGTTAACATATGTGAGGCACATGCAAACCCACAGCTGCACACCCAAAGCTTCTTTTAAGTGTGTTTATCCTGGATGTCATAGAACTTTCCAGAAGTTCAGAACATTGTGTTTCTAAAGTTTTTATTTTGTTTGTTTACAGTCACTCATCATCAGAGATTGAGGATGCCAGCCAGACGCTGCAGTCAAGTCCTCTTTCAAGATGTTCTCTTTCTTTATTGTTTTCATTCATGTGTGAGTTCATGCTGTTCAAAATAACTATAAATGTGTATAAGACTTGTCAACAAGCTAGACTGTGAAGCAGTTATATTACACTGTTCTTGATGCTATTTTAATTCTGTGTTACACTGTTGATGCTAATGAGTTCAGTTATGCTGTTCATTAGCGATTTTATTGGTTTATTAGTTTGCTTCTAAACATGCAGTACATTGTGACTTTTGTGATGTAATACAAATGTCCATTTATTATTTGAGAACATATAACACATAAACTGCAACAATTATGTATTGAATGTCTGTTGTTATTCTTTTATTTGTTGGGAATTAAATGCAAAGGGTTGTATTACCCTTTGTAAATAAACGGTAACATTCTGGCATATACCGTAAAATCACGGTAAAACCCAGTTATCCTACTGTCACATACCGTAATCAAGTATACGGTAAGATACCGTAAAAACTAAATTAGTGGCGTCCCTGCTGCCAGTAAGTTACCGTTAATTTACGGTGAAATAATTTAGAGTGCAATTGCCAACGCAGCCTCCATAATTCCAGACAAGGAAAGAGGCAGAAAAAAAGGCACAGAGAAAACAATAAAACATAATAAAAAACAAAATATGACCCTGAATCAGCTTGATGTTGATTTGCACAGGACAAACATTATCACATGACCTCTGTGTTTGTCAAATATGGTAGGTCATTTGTGGTCAAATCTTTACTTGCCGAATTACAGACATGGCAGATTCACACAGGATTGAGATCATGATGAGCACAATTATTTTTAATCACTCTTCTTCATGGAGTTAATGGAGCGTTCGATTCAATTGACAACCCGAAACATTTTGTCCGAATTTTGAACATTATAACAAGAGGTTACAAACCCGTTTTACTCACTTATCAAATGGTTAAAGTCAGAGGCAAGTTGCTGTGTATTAAGCTGGTATAACATCACGCTGTTGGTTTAAGCTGTCTCGTTTAATTATCAGATAATAACTGACTCACTTCAATGTGCAGAAGCTTGGAGATGAATCGTAACATTGCTGTAAAACACGAAATGCCATGGTTGACTGCTAGCATAGGCGGTTTTGGTGTGAACAGGGTGAATCCCTTAGTGACCCTTGCCAAAAAATGTGCAGAATTTTACAGTAACTTCATGTATTCTTGGACAAATAAAAATTGCATTAGGTAAACAAAGATAATATGCGTAATTCACCAAAACAGTTGCTGTTGTGGGTTTAATTTCCAATGCTGTAATACTACAATTCAACTTATTTAAACATTTATACCATCTTCAAAGGAGCAACCCTGTCCAACACTCTGTGAGTCATTATGAGCAGTGTGAACTCTAAGGCACTCAAAGTTGTTATGCCAGGTTTTTGGGAAGTTATCAGAGAAGCTTTGTCTGACACATTTCCAAAATGGTTTTTATTGTGTTTCATTAAATGAGATGCACTTTTAAATCAAATAGTGTGATAACTGAGGCACCGTTATCAGAAATGGTGATTTTAACCCCGTGCCGTTTGCAGCCCCTAAAGTGAAATTTCACAGCGAGGCCGATGCCATTGGCAGGCGAGCCACTGGCCCGAGTGTCCCTCTTTCATATCATGTTCCCTTTAAATTGCCCACTGCAACCTTTGATTTGTCACAGATAATTTGGCCCCCAGGCTCTGCCCATCTCTCGGTGACACCAAAGGGCAATTCTGTTGTATATTCTAAATTTGTCTCTTCTCCAAAGACTGATTGAGTTTTGCCTCTGCTTCCATCTGCTTCCCTCACCTCCAGGTACGGGTTTCCCATTCCAAGCATGACATAAATGAAATACTGCGGTCCTGTGCGTCGTCTTTTTCAGGCTACTGGAGAGGATACAGTGTAGGGATCTGAGAAAAAACATTTTAACGGGAGATCTTTTAACTTTGTCAAAAAACAAACACGATTATGAGGTCATGGCTATTTAGAAGATGCACTAAATGAACAGTGGGTGTAGTAGGCTTCTCCATTTCAGTTCTTTACCCCCCGTCACACACAAATACTCGAACACACGCGGATCTGGGCAGGCATTTGAGGGCACACACACAAAGATGTGACCATTGTGCTATTATTCTGTCTCCAGTTTGTGCTCTGACCCCCTGGCCCCACGCCAGCTCATTTGCATATTGCACTAATGAGGTGTTGGCACTGTGAACGAGGCGTGAGGTGCACGCAGGGAGCCACAGACAGATGAAGGAGATAGGATGAAGACAGATAGACAGACAAACAGACAGACAGACAGATAGATAGACAGGCAGACAGACAGTTGTTTTTTTCTTTATAGGTGTTTCTTTTTTTCCTCATTGCCCATCCATCACGCCAGCATACTGCAGCTGCCTCCCCAGCCAGAGTTCCCTATGCGAACGACGGTGCAGGACATCAGCTCCCCCTCTGGCGACTCCGACCGTCCTGAGGGGGGACGTCACACCAGCTGCCGCCACGCTTGCCTCCATCTGGGCATGGATACATGTCCAGGTGTGTGTGTGTGTGTGCGCCCCGTCACCTGCCAAGAGCGCCGCTGTTTCCCAAAGAAAGACGCTCGCAGGCAGGCTTTCCAAAATCCACAGACAAACACAGCCGAGTGCAGCCGAGCTCATCCCAAATCCCTGAAACCAAGGTGCAGTCCTGGCACTGCAGCACGCGTGTGACGGGGCGAGAAAAAGAAAAGCCATCCCAACACCGGTTTGGTTCAGTTTGCAGTGCACCGGGGAGATTGTTCAGGCACATTCTTAGGCCGTGATCTTTGCACTTTAATTTGCGTTGATCAAAATCAGGGTTTATTAGAGGGTTGTCTGGTACGGGTAGTGATACTTTAATGCCCTATTATAAGTACAAGTATAATTTCTCAAAGAACTGAAAAGTCAGATCAAGGTAAACACTGTTTAAAAAATAATGTAGCTAGTTTTGGAGCTTTTTTGATCTTTCTTTGCAGCAACAAATAGGTCGATGTAGAAATAGTTCAGCACATTGCTGTGAGTATTATCTCTAGGCTAATTTCCATGTACTAAATGCCTTTATCAAAGGGTGCAGCAAAAGCTATTCTTAATACATCTGGAATATTATCTTCTTGGCATATTGATTGCGAATTTTATATTATCCAAATTGTTCCAAATCCAAACTTCACAAGCTTGCAAAGAGTATTCTGTTGCTCAAGGTCATCATCACGACGCACCTGAAATGTGCCTGCAAATTCCCCCAACAATGAGGAACTTGCAGAAAGGAATTACCACAAGTTCATGTGCGTGGCTCCACTTTTTACAATCTCAACGTTTTGTTAGCCAGGGTTAATTTTTTTAAAAATCTTTATTTAAGCTGAATGGCTGGCAGCTATGAGATAATCACCTTCCTCTCTGTGCCCCGAAGCTGTGTCAGGCAGGCCTCAAGGCTTCCAAGCCTGAGCTGCAATATGCAGACACATTTCATCACACGCAAACAATACATTCATACATATACAAGACACAGTCACACACACACACACACACACACACACACACGCCCAGACTCCCCTCTTTCCCTCTTATTCATTTTGCGTGCGTGCCCTCCTCGGCACGCAAAGTAAATTGTGTGAGGAGGATATGTGTGCGCGTGTGTGCGTTTTTGAGGTGATGTGACATTTCTGGGCTGACATGAAGCGGCACTCTGCCCCCTCGCACCTGGGGGGAGCTCCCGGGGAAAGACACTGATGGAGGTCTGAGGGTCCCCGGGGAGGAATTTCATGTGTGAACAAAAAGCCCTGCGCTGCGGCAGAAACGACCTGTAAAACACAAGCTGGAGTCTCCTCCACTACCTGCTTTAGTGCTCATTTGAATATTGTGGAAACGGAAGACATGGTTCATATGTTTATTTGCATGAAGTATAAAGATATATAAAGATAGTTATACGCTTTAAATGAAGCGACAATATGATCCTTCTGTATTTTGTGTTGTTTCTAATTTTGCATGACGAAATGTGATAAAAGAAACACTACAGATGACACATAATAAGCCACTGTTTAGAATTTTGAACGAGTCCTCCCTCTAGCTGCTTTTCAACAACAACATATTGGTCTACAGTCAACCAGTAAGCATTATTTTCCCGGGGGAATTCAACCCTCCCCCCCAAAAAAAACTCCTGAACACAAACCACACTGCAGAGAAAAGCAGATCCTTAGAGCTATTGCAACAGCAACGGGCAACATTTCATCACAAATCAATGGCACGGTAACAGACTCCTGCATGCAGCAATTTTGTAAAAATCCAACCCCAAATGCTCGATGGGAAAACATCCCCTCTAACCGACACCTTTTCGCCACCATGCTTCACACTCGCAGAGGGTAATTCATCACCGCTAACTGCCTTAACTTAATCTTAATCTTAATCAATGAGCGAGAGTGTTTATTGGTGTGCGCGTGTTTGGGTGTGAGATGGAGGGAGAAGCAGTGACAGTTGAAAGCTCCACCCTACGTTTAACTTTAACGCCTCTAATCCCAGATAACCGTCCAACGTCGTAGCTGCTGTCTGCTGTCGATTCCCTTCGGTTTGTATCTCGCCACCACTCAAACTGGCTTTCGCGGGTTTCCCACCGCGCAAAAACAAGCAGAATGCACGCGCGTCCCTGCGCTAACAAGAAGAGGAGCCACAGTTAAAAAAGTAAGTGAAAGTGAGCAGGCAGGGAGGTGACAGACAGAATAATTGAGTGGTGCGAGCGGCAAGGAAGCAGCGGCCTCCATACACACTAATCCAGAGGCTTAAGGCGTACAGTAAACAGGCGCATAAGTGATTAGCCGCAGTTAAACCATCAATCATCTTTCGCCACACACAAACGCACGCTACATAATATGTATATATAGAGAGAGAGAGAGAGAGAGCGCGTAATGTAGGGATGTGAGAAAGTAGCAACCATAGTCACCCTAGGAGGGCATTGGGTTTCATGGAAGAGGCAGCTGAAGATATTTCATGCAACATAATGCCAGAGCCGCTTGCCCGCCCCCCTACAGCCCCCCCACGTCCCCTTATCCAACGCACACGCAGACATAAGATACTACTTCTTCAGCCATGACGATATTTTGCATTTGGGGGGAGGAAAAGAAAGCCTGCAGGCCGTGTTGTTGTGGCCAACCTTGTGGGTGCATGAGAAAAGAAACACGTGGGTATCGCTTCCACAAATGGCCCCGCACGCAACGTGTGAGAACCAGACAAAATATAGAATCCAAGTCGCCGTGGCAGAGCAGGCCCTTGGTGTGTTTGCGATGTCTGAACTGTGAGCATTTTCTGCCGACGGACGAAAGAAACATGGCTGACTGGCTCAGAACAGGAATGTTTTGCATGTGAATGATATTCATTTTATCAAGCGGTGTGTGATGTCCTCTAAATTGGTGCAAACACATTGATTGTTTGACTGTATTTGTACATTTCTGTTCTGCTGAGCAATAAAGGTGAATTAACTTGGCCATCTCAACAGAACTGAATAAAACCTACATTACTTTCGAAATTCCATACTAACATACTATTTAGTACAGTAAAACAGTATGAGAGATTTTTTAGTACGTCCGACACCTCATGAAACCAATAGGGCGCGAATTGCATAATATTTCAGGAGAAATATTATGGCACGCAAACACGCCGGCATATATATCCCAGAGTGCAATGCGGTAGTGACAACAATGTTCCTTACAGACAGTGGAAGACAGCTCTGTTACGTCAAAAACCCTGATATATGTTTTTTAATGAGTTCACACTTTATGATTCTCACAAAACATAATTTGGTCACACAAAATTGGCACAGGTTACCCATGGTTAGGAGTCTCCAACCGGCATGGAGGCTCTCAGGAAGTGGTAATCACAGCTCAGTGCGTCCGACAAGAGACACACTGTTGCTTCTTCACACAGAAGTAGGTTGAATGACAGCACACATATTGAGTATGTAGTGCATAGCATGCAATTTCGGACGCAGCGCTAGTTTATTTCTGTGTCCTACTACAGAAAAATGATGGATATAATGTATATACATATATATATATATATATATATATATTGTTAGCACATTAACAATATATATATACATTAGCCAGAACTATTAGAATCAAGTTAGCAAGTCTTAGATAATGTGATATAAGTAGCTAGTAAGTAGGTAGTTGTCTTCGAATTAACATTAAGATTGGTTTGTTTTTAAATTGAAGGGAGAATGCCTCCCTACAGTTTTTCTGCAGTGCTGATGATACGGGTTAACTGACTCACCTAATTTGGTAAATCATGGAATCTTGCTGGGCCTTTGCCTTTTCTGTAGTTTAATGTGTCACAAAACAGGACAGACTAACCCTCCGCCACCAAAACAGATGAAGGTGTGACAAGAAACAGGAAAGAGTTCTGACACTAAAATAACACGGTGAGAAGAAAGAGTGCCTATGTCAAAGTGGTAGCTAAATACTGCACATTTGCCCCGGCTCAACAGTTTTATAACGGTACAGCTCAAAATTGCAGCCCAGTGTTGCTACTTCAAAGGGAAATTCATTATTTCATTTTTTTCTCATAATCATGACTTAGTATTTAAGAGATAATATGTCAAAATTAAGAGAAAAAAACATAATTATACTTGGGTGTTGGATTTCCCTTTTTGCAGAAATGGGCTTCCATACAAATAAGTCCTTAATTAGATGGTACTAATCATACTGATCTGATTTGTTTACAGTTATAATTCTAACGTATCACATTCAATTATGATGTATCGACAGGAATTTTGGCAGGAACTATTTTTAACTGCATGTGAAACTTAATAAAATGAACAGAGTTTTTTTTTACACCATGGCTAACATTCATGGAGCACATAATCAAATCTAATTGCATCAAGGACAGTTATTGAAATGAACAAAGTGTGATTAAAGTGCCCGGACTGATTGCTCAGTTGAACAACACTACAATTAAAGAGTATCAATGTGTGTTATGAAAGTATTTTTCAGTTTTATAGTAAATGTTATGTTGGAACTTCAACAAAAGCATTGGTTGACATGTTGTGTGTCCGCGCTCACGAGGAGAGAGATTTTCTCTACGGCTGATAAGATCCAGCCTGTCACTTTATACGTAAACTTTACATGAGTTTAACTATAGACTCATGGATTCATTTTGCATTCCTTCATCAGCTTCACATTCAATGTCCCGTTAACAGCCTCCCAGGCTGATCTGTGATTGACATGAAGCTGCCTTGTCAACTTTGTTGCGCGTCAAATGGCATACACTCTTATCTACCTTTTTTCCTGACCCCCTCTGAAGCTCAGAGAACAAAATGAAAGCAGTTCAAACGCTGCATCTTAATCGGGTACGAAGCTCTGCAACTGTCACAAACTGTTCTCCCACGAGGTTTCAACACGTCAGACTCTCCTTGTCATCGCCAGGACGAGACAGATCATTTGTCATCATTTCAACATTTAGTACAATGAAATAAAAAATAAAGAAACTACAAACTTTTTCTACAAACGTAAATGAGCTAAAATGTCAAGATAGAAAATGAAAAACACATAGTATGAGCAACAGTACAGTAGACGCAAGGCTCAGCTTGATTCTCATGCTTTGGGAAAAAAAGTGTCAGAAAAGAAAAGAAACTGGATATCACTAACTGAAATGAACAGACAATACTCTAAGTGCACCCCTACTTGTTCCTGCTCCAGTGCAGTGCTTGAAAAGTGATTATGTTTAGATGAATAACTGACTTTAGGACAGACAAGCAGGAGAGTAAAACACGTCATACTCACAGCGTAATTCCTTATATATCCCAGCTTTGGTACAAGAGAGAAAGGAGATTGTTTAACTACAGTCATCGGGAGGGGGAGGGGGGGGGGGGGGAGAACACAATGAAAACTTTGATATTTGCTGTCTTGCGTCTTATACACCAAGGTGACCAAGACATTTTGGAGTTGACTGCCTTGAAGGTGTTTTTGTAGTAAAGTCCATGATTTATTCCCGGTGTATTCTGCTTGAATTAGTTATGCATTTTGTACTGCTTAAAATGTAATGGTTTTTGGGGGGGGTTTTAAGATGTTTTACTCAAAATTACCTTTTGATGTCTTAAGTCAGATTGAGTGCAATAATTGCAGAAGTTACAACAGATATAGCCACTACTCACAGTATTAAGTACTGTCAACATGGACACTTAATTTAGCTCCGTCGGAAGCAGAATATGATGTGTTTCTAAAGAGCTTACCAGATGATGTAACATTTTCTGGCAGCCATATTAGAGGTTTTCTGCTGTTGCTCTAATGACAGACTTGAAATCCTAAACTTCATCCCAAAAGAACTTCATTTGTACTCTTTTTATGATCAAAAGAATGAACAATGACAAAGTAAAATGACAATATTTTTTGTGTGTAAATATCGTTAGCATCTTAGCTAGTACGCTAGCAGTTTCACATTAGCTAACGATTGCATAACATGTTATCCCCTTAGTAAATATAAGTGTTCGCTAAAGTTTGCATCATATGTAGCTGGCAGTTGTGTGTTAACATTATGATAGGTTTCTTCTGCTAAATATTAAAAAAAAAACTTCTTTTGAGATGACCTCTCAAGCTACAGTTGAGTCTGCCTAACAATGCTGAAGATAAGAGTTTACTGTGTAAGCTAAATCTGAAAATAAATTATTAGGTTGGGCCTTTGGTTTTTTCAGCCTGCTGCCGTGGGCATTTTGTTAACATGAATGTTCAGTGGGACAATTGTTTCCCCTCCACAAAGAGATTACAGTAAATGAAGACGGTATGACTAGAAACAGGAAATAGTTCTGACAATGGTGGCACAATGCTATTTATAAACCATGCGTTAAATTCTCATGTTCAGTATAACCATGAGTTAGCTTAGCCAAACTGCTTAATTTCACAGCCAAGAACTTTTAGCGACCTAACTTAGCACTAATTTGCCGTCAATTAAAGAAATAGTGCGCCGTTAGGGGAATTACGCTTATTTATCAAGAAAAAGTTACATAAAGTGACACCCTGCAAAACCACAAATTGTCAGTTTTTCATTACTGTCTGTGTTGTTGCAAACGAGACACATTGTGTTGATTATGAGCTTTAGCTCTACTACCAGTCCTTATGCTAAGCTAAGCTAATGTAAAGTGAGTAAGTGTATTTCCCAAACTCTCAATCTATTCCTTTAAATGTTAGAACCTTTGCAGCTGATGAACACTATAACAGCAGCATCATGTCCAATTCATGCTATTCTCAACATTACCCACATGGTAACAATACATGTCCACACAAGTATATATCGCGATATATACAATGATATCATGCTTGTCAGTCTTATATTCTCCCCCTGGGACTTACTGATGTACTTGCAAGGAGATGTGTGTAATACTGTAACTGTAAAGCCTCTAAAACAATATTATATTAAAGTGTCCAGCTGATGAGAAGGAAGGAATTGTACCTTGTTTCTCTTGAAATAGGCCCTGCGGCAGGCGGCGAAGCACTTCTCGCTGCAGAAGCTCTTCTGCTCACTGCCCATGCTCAGAGAATAGCGTTTGACGCCGACCTTCTGGCACCAGGCGCACATGATCTGCATGTTGGATGCATCTTCGTCTGGAAAAGAAACAGCCAGCAGTGAAAGTGAGTTAGGATGGAGCTCAGTATTTCCCGCTTCTTTTTGTAAAAATAATTTCCCAGGACTTTTCCAGGACTTTTCCAGGACATTCGCAGAGACGGTCTGGCTGTTTTATGTGTAAGTATTAAAACGCAAGCAACAACTAAATGTATTAAACACAAGGACCAAAAGGCATTAACTCCAACTGACTCAGCCCAGCAGCAGAGATGGGTAAATCCGCTCAAGTTCTAAGCCACAAAACCACTGTAGGATTTGTAATGAAGGCCTGCCATGGGTAAATAGCAGAACCGGATGAGCCGGGGAGATGGGAAGATGCCTATTTGTGGCTGTGCTCTGTGGGTGTATTAGAGAACCTGAAGTCCACACAAGGATGTACTTTGATGGTGCTGGAGATGACAGGTGTTCAAAGGAGGCTGAGACGGTGGGCGTGGTCCCCATGCTAATGTGCATCCTGTGTGAGTGTATTTACCACACCGGGGTCACAGAGAATGTTTCAATAATTCTCGTAGTTTGTGTTCTTACATGAATGTCAGATGGGTGAGGTTTGTTTCGCAAAATACGTGTGTGTAAAAAAAACTTGTATTCAATATTTGTAAGACAATTTGGACTTTTCTCTGACTGACAAGTTACACAACTCTGATGTGAACTGACCTCATCTGAAGGAAACCCCATCAATCCATCTACCACACAGTTACATTTATTAAACTGATGATTCATGATGAGAGGGCAAAAAAGAAAAGAACCAGAAAGACCAAATACCGTGACAAAATAATATTCACATCATAGAAAAGACATAAAAAAAAGGTTTACATGGAATAACTTTTTTTTTTTTAATCCCAATATAAAAGTACGTTTCAAATAATATATGTAGGAAATAATGTGAAATAAAAGTATGAAATTTGTGGAAGTGAAATCAAAATGACAAATAATAATATTGCCAATAGCAGTTCTAACAGTAGATTGGGGTTGTTTATTCGTATGTGCCTTCGATTTAGACGTGGCTGCGGTGGCTTCTGTGTGGTCAGTGTGGGCCACAAATCGTTTTAACACACCCTCTGTGACGGTGAAATGCCTCTTCTGTGGTAAACTGTGACTGCTGGTGATGAGCTGCGGGCTTTTAGTGCCATCGCTCTTGCAATGAGAGAGATCCTCCGAGATTCCCTCCAGTATCTCCCAATTATCACATTATGACTGCACGGGTGTGAGGCCGACGGAACGCAGGCCCATTAGTCTTTCACCCTCGCTCACCTCCTTATCGCACGCTGCCCGGGCTTTTCACCTCTTGTTGAGCTTAATGGATCTGCGGGGCCATCAGAATTTAAGTAAAGACTAACTCACAATTAAGGAAATAACTCCCCAAGGCCCTAAAGAAAGCACAGTGGACCCAACATGCATATTTTATGTCTTTCCTCTCCTCTGCTGCTCTATCTCATTCCTATAGTCTCTCTGCCTTTTTGTGTCTATCTGGATTGCTGCCCACTGCAGTGATAACCAAAAAAACAAAAACAAAAAACAAGACATAGTTTCATTCTGGGCTGACTGGGTGGGTGGATCAGGGTTTGTACATTGCTTGGAATAACGTCTGTGCCGCGGCATAATGAACAGGATCAAAGGCCAACGTCAAATCACAACATCTCTCGCAATATCTCAACATTTTCACGCAACGAGACATCTTGAGTTGGAGTTGTTTGTTTTTTCCGCCTTCCCACGTCCTGGCATCTCGTAACAAGCCTGTCTCAAAACACTCACATCTGCATGAGGGAGGGGGGAAGCTGTTAGTAATTATGCAGCCTCCATACTAAATGCCACCATCATCCACCGTACCTCCACCTCAAAAGGTCCTTTGTCGGATTCTGCGGGGCACATGAATAATTCAGCATGTGTGGGGTGGTGGGGGGGGGGGGGGCGAGTTGAAGGGGGTGTCGGCCGGGTGGTGGGTTGATGCTGGGCTTTAAGTGGGACCACACCATCTGTTTCCCTGCCTAGGCAGGGCCAGCGGGGACTCCTCTTGGGCGATGCCAAGGCGGCCTCGCTCCCTCCGCCGGGGCGTACCAACCTCCTGTGCCACAGCAGACGCAAGGGATAATGAAGCCCTCTGTCTGGCCGAGGAATGCGGACATTTCCCTCAGAGAGTTGATGGGGTTATATTGACACTCGGGCAGGTGGAGGAAAACAAGGTGTACAGCAGGTATAGCTAGCTCATTAGTCGACTGTCCCTGCCTGGTTTAGAGGCTTTTTCGGGGCCATCGCAAAGACAGAGATTTTTCACGATGCATAAACATTCAGTTTCCCTTAAGTGTGGAGGAATCAGCAAGTAGGTTTTGTCCTTTCGGTACAATGTGTCTCGAGAACAGCTGTGGACGGGATCACTGCCATTTCTTCTAGTTAGGTGTTTTGACTGGAGAAATGACTGTTTGTGTGTGTGCTTTGTGGTTGGCAGTTTGGGGCGAATACATCAACAATCTTGCATGGGCTGAAAATGACCTTGTTCTTTTTGGACAGATAAAATGTAGCCAAATTCGAATCACACACATTGGTAAGCATAAAACAGTTGAATATGTATGTATCGGCTCTGGAGGTGGACTGGTTCGGCCATTTTAGTCGATTTTGTCAGTGTTTTTTGCCGGCATGTTTAAGTGTTTTCCTGACAAACAAGGACGTATATACGCCTAAACTACTTTTAATTCATCTCCTGTATGCGTCTTTCCAAACAATAGTGTCAGTGCTCCCTACCTGCAGGGGGCTTGATCAATGGCGGGGGGATCATGGGGACTATGATGGGCAGGTTGCCATGCTCCTTGGTGCTGTGCATGGAGGTGGACGCTGTGGTGGAGGACTCTGTGACTCCGTTCCTGGAGGCTGGCAGAGACTGGGAGCTGTTGGCTCGATCCGGAGAGCCTTCGCTGCTCTCCGTTGAAGTTGGGATTTTTGGCAACAAGTTTTCTAGACAGGGGGAATTGAGCGAAACAAAGCGTTACTGAACAACTGATGAGATGTTGTGGCAATCGCTGCAAATCCTGCCGTAATGTAAGAGCCTAGTATGCCTAAAATCTGACACTAAGGGTCACTATCTACCATACTAGATGCACAAGTGATGAAGCATGCTTGTTTGGCTTTGGAAAAGTTTATGTTTAAAGCCCCAAAATAGTGAGGAAGTAAGCTACAATTACAGTTACAGCTGCACTTATAATTGACCGAATCTAATGTGAAAGGGGTCACTCATAGAGATAAACCCACAGAGGATTTTACCCAACACTGCAGTGTGGAGCTTATTAGCATCTTTAAGCTCATTGCTAGTGTTTTCAAGCCCACAACTTTACTATGTTGGTTCAGTCTCACGGCTCTCATCAGCCCTGTTCTTGCTTCAGCTACCAGCTGTTTTGAGCAAAGAACGCCTAACGTTACACTACCTCTCCAGCATTTCCGACATTGGAGCTTTTATTAGCTAACGAGCCAGACATTTCCCTCTGGAGTTGGTGGAGACCAAAACAAAGCTACAAGGAGAGTGGCTATCGGGCTAAGATTTGTCAGGTGGACCCAAACGTGACTGCAAATGAATGCTAATGTCGCTCTGTGTCTCCTGGATGAGTGTGTAGGCAACTGTTACAACTTTCTAAAATGAAAGCGTGTCAACATTGTGTTTGCAGCTTGTTGCATTGCTCCCAAGTTCACAGCGCATCTACGATTCACGGATGGCCTCCACACAGCTCTCAACATGGCGCAGGCTAGCAGCTAGGTGCGCAAACAGTGCAAACTACGGTTAAAGTGCTGACAGAGCTAACAGTGTTAACCCCATGTAGGAACAGGGTGGGCGCTACGCATCTGCAAAGATACCGTCATCAGCTGACACCACCGTTATACCCGGCTCAAGACGCCATTACTCCACTATAATAGCAAATAGTTGTCTGCTGCAACATTAATGCTCTAAGTTTGAATTCATTACCTTTAAAGTTTAGAAGACATTCTTTGTTAAAATGTTTCAGTTTCAGTTTTAACGTTCAACAAAAGTCAGCCAATCTGCTTCATCAGAATGGATGTGGCTTCACATAAGATTGACCGTGGAAGCACAAGCGAACAGTCCATCTGTCATCACATCTTCATTCAGCAGATGCTGAAATCTGATTGGTGCGTGGAAATATGTGACATGACACTTTTTCCAACTGAGACCCGCCCACTTCAAACAAGTGAGGAACAAAATAAAAGTGCAGGAACCTATCAAGTGTCATAATCTAAACTTGTAAAACAGTGTGTTCATGTACTACCCCATTACTTATAGTAAGAAGCTGTTTCATAATTGAAGTTGTATGGGGCCTTTCACAACATGTTTCACATTCCATTCCATAATGCAGCACACAATCTCACTATGGACAATGAAGCAATTGAGAGTGTTGAATGCTGGGCCAACAAGGCACAAAATGCACATGCTTTTTAATAAAAAGAAAACATGTTACAGTTCCATACCTTTGAGGACAGAGATGTGCTGTGGTGTCTCCCCTATCTCCAGGTTGTCAGAGTCTCTCAGTTCCACCTTGTCATAGCCGTACCAGCCCAGCAGCTCGTTCATGGTGCTCTCTGCAAAACTCTGCAACACAGACAGTTGGTTGATGAGACGCAAGACAAACCAACACAATTTAAGTTGTTAGTCTTGCAACGCAAGCTGCTACTTCTGATAAGAAGTGATTGAGTAAATACATAGTACGAAATCAAAGGTGATTCTGATTTTTTTTTGTTCCTATGATATACTTTGTAAATGTTACCCAAGCAAACATCTGGACATTTGGAAAACAGGACGAGGATAAATGAGGTTTGATGTCACTTGTTGTAAAAGCGAATGGAACAGTCTGCTACTTTCATTGCATTCGCTGTGCTTCTCCTGAGACCTTGACTGTAAGACTCACTCCTTAGATTGGCCCACAGCACCGCATACCACAACTAATCAGGCCGAGGTATTGCGATCCCACTCAAATCTCAAAAACCACGATGTAGGTTTTTTCCCTGATGGACTGATAATAACCTCATCACAGCACACAAACCAGCAGAGAGAGAAAGTATCACTGCAGTGACAGCAGAGATGAGGGTATAACTTGTGGGCTCTTAAAGCTCCCTCCTCTCTCTTATGCCTTCTCTGATAGGCTGAAAATGTTGTCTCCGCTGACAAAAATGGCACAGGGGTTAAGTGGACCATGGGGACCACTTAACCCCTGTGCCATTCATGGGACCCCGAAGCTAAGGAATCCAACAACAACATGCCAAAGACCATACATATTTTTTGTGTCATGGCTGTTTTTCAGCAATTCTATACTCTTGCTTAGTGGGAAAAGAGATGTTATATTTATTCATAATGATTGATTTTGATTTGTTTGTTTATGGTTTGAGTTATCTTCATCCTCAGGGGGCCTTAACCCACAATAAACGCCAACTTAAAGTGTATTATGATAAATCCCCTTAACATGCAGTACAGTTCTCCCATTCTGTTTCCCCTTAAGTAGCCTTAAGGTTTGCGGCATGAGTTTGTAAAGACTGACCCACCGTAGGTGCTGCTGATTATTAAAGGAATATTGCATGATTTTGGAGAAATACATTTATTTGCTTTCTCTGGCGGGGAGTTAGAAGATCGATACCACTCATCGCTCTCATATCCGTAGTCTAAATATGAACGGCCAGAAGGCGATTAGCTTAGCTTAGCATAAAGACTGGAAGCGAGGGAAAGTGGTAGGCCTGGCTCCATCCAAAGGTGAAAAAAAAAAACTAGCAGTGGTATGTCTCCTTTGTTGATACCGTACAAAAGACGAAGTGTAAAAATGACGCGGTTACTGTATGTGCTGTTTCCCCTTTTTTCCAGTCTTTGTGCTAAAGCTAAAGCTGGCTTTAACTTTATATGGTTATCCTTCATATGTACAGAGTGGCATCAATGTGCTCATCTGTGTCTCAGACAGGGAAGCCAACAAGCATGTTTCCAAAAAAAGTACTCCTGGAAGTGGTTTTCAACTTTTAACTGGTTAAATATAAGAGGAGCTAAGTAAGTAGATACCCTACATCACTAATAGCTATGTATTTCAGAACACAAACCCATCACGGTGAACAACCAATAACAACACAGTGAAAAACACTAATATAGAGTAAAATAGCACTGAGCAGTAAATAGCACTTCACAGTCCACAGCCATCCAATGTGCTTTGAGTAGGGCTGTAAAGTCCCAACGTTCACCAGCGGCACAGCGGAGCAGGATGCTATGCAGATATAGTGCAGGTGTGCAAAAATGAACACGCCTAATCTATGCAGGTGAAACATTAAAGTATTTCCTCCACTACAGCCTCGAGCAACACAGTCAATAACCACTCAAAACTAAAAAACCCTAACCCCGCTAATGCATACAGCCCATTATCACCATCCACCTCTCAGCTGGAATATTCCCAGAAGCGTCCATTCACTGAACCCTAAACTGTGGTAAATGGTTCAGCTACCGTTTGACTCGGAAACGTAGATGGAAATGTGCTTTCTGGAAACAAACTACAGCTGTAATTATAAAACATTACTCACAGGTCACTAATCTATCGGCTTAGACGGAACACTGGTCCTCGGCGCTATAAATTATGCTTCTTACATATTGCTGCTAAACACATTTCTGTACATTCGTCTTATAATAATAAACACATCCAGCTAAAATTTATTAGCCTTAGGTACGGGACGCGCCTGTCAATTTGGCGCGCGACAACAGCTTGTAGAATCACATAACGGGCTTTGCATTGGCAAACCCTGATGCCCTGTGCAGTGCGTTGCCACAGAGATGACCCGCCTTGTCTTGCCATTGGTGGTCTTGCTCCAGATGAACTTGACAAGACTCGAGTGAGTTCATTATTTTCTAGCCAGTCCCACTTTGTGCATTATCTCATCGGGGCAGCAGCCGACAATCATCAGTCACTGCATTAAGCAGCTAAATGTCAATCACAAACGGCTCGCGTCGACACGTCAGAGCCAGAGCGATCGTGCCGGAGTGGTTCAGTGCCACCCAGCACATCCGACTCTTGGATGATCTAAATATAACGGCAAAATATAGACATCCGCAGATGATAGAAAAGAGTATCTGCATCTGTAGCCTTCAAACCGTTGCTACATTCTGAGAAGAAAAAAGGGCAAAAAGCGTATTCAGATTGGGGCCTAACTGTTGCCCGTACCCAAATAAACGTAAAAGATAATTGCCATCTCAGATGGATGTCTGATTTGACAGGAAGGAAGATGGAAGACAAGACACATGCATAGACTTCCACATGAACTTTACAGGTGCACTTGGCAGCTTCACGTTTTGGCAGTGCAAGTTTAAAAAACTATAGGATAAGTTGATTTTCACGCCAAGTTCATGTCTATCAATGAGGATGAGAGAGAGAGAGAAAAAAAAGTTCCCACTGCAGATTTCTCTTGAGATTGTGCACTCACTGCTGGAGGCAGGGCTGGAGTATTGATTTGTGATTTCCTGTGGGTGAGAAAAGTGACCGTGTCTGCAACCAGAATTTAATTTGGGCAAATAAAGTGAAACTACGAGGTCTCAGTGGAGATGGGTTAGGTGTTTTATTTTATTCACATTAACATACCTTACGCATCTCCAAAAAAAAATGTCTCTGTCGGACACACAGCATGTGGTTGGTCCACTGACTCAACTGCTTGATACAAATTCAATTAACGGAGCACCAACACAAAGCGCAGTTTGGATATTGCTTACAGTGGTAATATAGTAAGGGGGATACAAGTGGGAATGAGCCCACACACACACACACACACAAACACTTGTTTAGCCAGAGGCAGATTTCCTCCTGCTTCATCAGCAACATTCACTCTCCGTTTCTAAGCATTTCATAGAGAAATTCATGATGTGCTGTATTTGTACCTCAGAGACGCAGCACCGCTCTCGGGTCAGTTTTGCTTTGTTCATACGGAGCGTATAGTAACAGAAGTGAACTTGCCACACACGGTCGCGGGACTTGGGCTAAATGCTGGGGAGGGATTATTGATGAGGAACGACAGGAGTTATTGATCTGCCTGTTATGAAATACCACTGTGTGGTGGTGGTTAGCAGGCAGATGTGTTGTGACGAGAAACAACGTGCTAGCTGCAGGACCGCTTTAGTACTACGCGCAAACGTGTGTCTGTGTGTGTGTGTGTGTGAACATCTGGCACTCAGCATGCAACAATTATAGCATTTGCAGCGGTTATTTAAAGTCTAATCTTTAAAAGTCTTCCTTTTTTTGTCACAGATATTTAAAAAGAAAAATGCTGGTTAAAGCGGACTGAAAGACGTCTGTTAATGAGGACAGCTCGTGTTTACTCATGTGACAGTACTTCTGCTTGAACAATGCTGAGTGACAGCATTGCTCACTCCGCCTGAAGGTTCCTGGAAGTCAGATTTAGTACCGCATCCTGAGCAGAGCCAAAGTTAGGTCCTGACAGCTATACACAGAGGTGTTTCCACCCATGGAGACGCCTTGTGTCTTCATGGCATTTTGAAATGGCCAAAGCATTTCTTGATTTAAACTGGGGGTCGATGCTGTGTGGCATTTGCATGTTTTTCCTCCGTATTCACCCAGGTTCCCTCCAAAATTTCAGACATGCATGTCAGATATAGCAAATAGTTCACGGCTGTGAATGCAAGTGGCCCGATTAGGGTGTTTTATAGCCTTACACACATTGCGTTTCTTTCTTACACAATTCTTAAATGAATCAATTAGGTAAAGAAAATGTATGATATCTAACCTGAGAAGCCGAATATGAAACAGTGCTCTGACAGACTCAGAGTGCAAACACATGCCAAGCACAACTGCGGCGATTAAGCACAACTGCGAGGATAAAAACCTTGAGAGGAAAATCATCCTTTTGAACAAATGAGTCGGAGCATAACCCAACCTGAGTGTACTGCAGAGTGAAACGGATGTAGCTGTAAAATAACCACCTCGCGGAAGACAAAAAAAAAAAAAACACAGCATCTCTCTGTGTCTCCCGTTCCTTCCTACCGTACTGTCCTCTGTGTCACCCTACTTGAGAAAGTAGGAGTGATATTAAGAGTGGAATCTAATCCCGGCTGGCGGCTCCTCAAAGCGGCGGCACCGACTCTGGCTCTGGGTGAGCTGGGGAGGAAGAGGCATTGGAAGCACATGGGCAGCTGCAGATGTCTATATGTTACACTGGATGTATAGCTTCTTCATCAGCTTTTATTTTTTTATGTGTCAAGTTAGAAAAATGAAATTATTTGCTGAAATTCATGGCTCTGAGATAGTGACTTCATTTGATCTGTCCATCTGTCCTAATTATGTTGTTGACCTTTTGTTAACTGCCAACATCAAGTTAAATTTCCCTCTGACCAAAGTTTTGTTCCATAACAGCGTTATCTCCAAAATATTTGTTATTTATGGTCCCCCAAATAATGAATATATTTCTAAATGTTTAAATCATCAATAAACGTTTTACTTTAGAAACATCGTCAGATCAATATGTTCACTTGTACACAATAAATATACAAATCTAATACACAGACTGCCATGATTAGTTAGCTCATTCATGCTGCCAAGAGGAGAAACCCTTTCCAGCTAACGCTCAATGTTGACTGTGTAATGCTTCCTCCGAACAGAAACTGTCTGTGTGTTTAGTTCTGTTAGTTCTGTTAGCTCTGTTAGCTGTGTCAGCCCCTGTTCGCTGTTGGCTCTGTTAGCTGTATTAGCCGTTAGCTATTAGCTCTGTTAGCCAAACACACCGCAGGACTCTGTAGCCCACCGGCTGCTAACAGCTAACTAGCTCTCCTCCTACCGACATGAGAGCACTCGGGTCAGTTTGTCATTTGCTTAGCGCTTCATTAAAACTTGATTGAAACAAATTAAAACTCACCCAAACTGTCTTGGTTAGCCTTTCCACTGTTCCAACAATCTCCAGCCCTGGTTTGGTCAAAATAAACCTTTAATTCACCAAGTTAGATGACAAATATGCTGGCTCTACCCGCTGTTTTCCCCCCACTGTCTATCTCTCGTGTTCTTCGGAAGCAGACCATTAAATTATCAAAATTATTGAAATGACAAACATCACCCAAAATTGCTTTAAAAAATGTTTTTAAACAGCAATAATGCCCAGCAACTGCTACAGCTAACTAGCTCTCCTCCCGCCAAAATGAGAGGACATGCTGGGGTTTTGCCGGTTAAGAGAAGTAAGGAGGCAGCAGTCAATGACAGTATAACCACGAGAGGTCCTCGAGCACACAATCAGAAAGGAGCACAAAAATGAATAGGCTGATGGGTCCAACAGTATGCAAGATCTTCCGTGGACAGACAGACACAGAGATGCACACACACTCACGACCGAATACATAATCTCCCGGCGGAGATAATAATAATGCCAGCAAGGACCGATTGCTTGCTAATCAATGCGTAAGTCATTGCAAAAAGTCAAGAAACGGCCTAAGACATTATTAAATTGTTATATAATGATCAAAAACCATGTAACTGATAGATTTGACACCACTGGCATTTTAAACACCACTTCTAGTTGACACTGTGTCAGGTTTTGAAGCAACTTCAAAGCTGGTGATGTTGAATAGTATCTCTACATGTTGAATGGTGTTTTTAACATGTCATGTAAGACCCGGTCGTGGCCAGTAGGGCCTGTGGTAATGACGATGGTGGGAATTGGATACCCTGCGGGTAGAAACCAGAGCAGGTCACTGTACACCGTGATAGAATTCCCAAATCCACGCGCCAAGTTTCCCTTCGCCTCCTACTCCGCCTCCTCCACTTGCCCACTTTTCCACTCCCCTGCTCCCTCTCTCCTCCTCTGCCTCTCCTTCTCCTCTGCTTTCACTTCCCTCTACTTTCCTTGATATGTGATCCAGCGGAGAGACACTCAGGTTACAGTTTTTACAGCTTAGCCAGCCCAGCGCTGTATACATTCCTTTCTCCACTGTTTCTTACCCCACTCTCTCCAGCCTCTCATATCCCCTCCAATGCCCACTCCTCCTTGTCCTTGATTACTCACCGGGGCTTATTTTACCGTGGCACACATTAAGCAGCCATGAAGAAAACACTGTCAGGCTGTTTGGTTTTGCAGAGTATGAGATCCTCACAAGGGCACATTGTGTGTCTGTCGTGTGTGTATGTGTGTGTGTTGTTGTTTTTTGGGGCCTGAAATATTGAAGATGAGAGAGGGGAACAAACTGGGTCATTTTATTCTGAACCTGAATCGAGTAAGTTTTCCACAGGGAATCAATACGTTATACTTCACATACTGGCTTTACTGGCTATTATCATGCAACCATGTTAAATAGCTGCAAGTCTGCAGCTCGTAATGCTATGGGTTCGGGTTTACAGTCCAATCCATGTCCAGGTGTAATGTTCTCATAACCAACCATGTTATATCATATCAGATACAGACATATTTGTTTGTCAACTTATCAACTCCCATAATGTCACAATAACAATGAAGGTATTGAGTGAAATAGGCTGCAGCTAGTTCCCCTACCTTTCTATCCGTGGATCAGTGTATTCCTAAATTAAATCTGCAGCCGCTTGTGTGTGAGAATGTGTGTGTGTGTGTGTGTGTGTGTGTGTGTGTGCGTGCACGCGTGCAATAGGAGATGAAATTCAAGGTTGCGTAATGAGCTACAATCGAACTTGTTTAGCCTTTGAAAGTGTTTTGACACCTTAACCACATCTGCTGCTCCATTCAGCGAAGCTTCCCCTGGTATTGACGGGAGATACTGAGTTGCCACGGTAGAGTGGTGTTTTCCCCCGGTACACACCAGCAACACAGCACCGTCTGCTGTGTTTTCTACTGACATCTAAAAAAAAGTATATATATATATATATATATATATTATATATATATATATATAATATATATATTACACAAGCTATTTGTTGAGTTTGGTACATCTTCATATTGAAAACTCAGGAGCCACGATTTGACAGATCACTGCGCTCACAAATCAAATGACAAGTCAAATGAATGTGCTTTAATCGAATGAGATGTTAAAGTGACACGTCTTCTCTGCAAAAAAAAACCATATTGTACTGTAAGATATGTCGATTCACTGAACCCTGACTGATGACCCCAAGTCACGGCATCCATCACCTTCTAAATAACAGCAAAACCTCTATACCTTCGAATAAAACCTCATGTCTGACCGGTGACTGACATCCTGTAATTACTCGACCAATCTGATAAATTACGAGAGGGGACATTTCATTTTTTGCTCTCCCCGGCTGTAATGATACAAATGACCAAATAAAACCTGGACGGACAGCACTTCAGTGTGCCTAAATTATGCTCATAAAGATTTCATCCATTCGAAATGCTCCATTGAGACTACCTCAAGTGCTCCCCTGATAGGAAATAAGGAAATGTCTCAATGGAGACCTGACTCACCCCCCCTCCCCTCCTCCTCCTCCTTTCCAGACAACAGGAGGATGGGTTAACTGTATTTATTCTCAAACTGAGGACCATTACTTTTTTATTTTTTATATCATCAAGAAAAGAAATTCCACTTCAACAAACTGTTATTCTGCCAATTGAATAAAAAAAAAATATCTGGATGCAGTTTTAATAAATGAGCAAGGACAGCTCTGAATGCAGCTGCAAATAAGTGACACATTCAAGGAAAATACCTAAAAGACAGTACTGTGTTACATTACACGATCGTGCATTATCATGCATGCAATATCGCATCCCGTTCCTTCTTGCCATATGATAATCACCAACAAAGCATCTAGACTGTCATCAATAGAATGAACATGATTTTTTTTACAGTAAGAGAGAAGAGGCGGTGACACGTGAACGCGGCTGGAAAAAAAAGCTTTTATTCCAGCAGTCTTTATTTTATTTGTTCAAGACTCGCTCAAAGCCAGCACCCTCGCTTCTCCTCTGACAGCCTTAAAATATACAATTTCCACAATCATCCCCGATGTGATCACCTGCATATCCGCCCATAACAGCAGAGCCCTGGGTGCATATGTGTCTCCAGCCAAATGTGTATACAAACAATGAAGAGATGGAGACAAAGCGGACACACAGTCTGCCTCTCTCTCTCTCTCTCTCTCTCTCTCTCTCTCTCTCTCTCTCTCTCTCTCTCTCTCTCTCTCACACACACACACACACATGTCAGGAACACTTTCTTTCTCCTCAAAGGAGCCGCGCGGAGCACGAGGCTCAAATATCATCGAGCAACATATAAAAAGATAAGGAATAGAAACAACGTGTGAGGTGAACGTCGGGGGGAGATCCGCTGCAGGCCGAACACAGGAGACAATGTGCTCCTTGTCGAGTGCGTAAAAGCTCACAGACGCACATCTGGATCACACGCCTCTGGGCAGCACACACGCACACTCACACACATAAACAAAAACCCACGCAGTGGGACCCGCAAAAAGCATCGCGGACACGCGAGTGCCCCCCCTATCGATTCGCACTCATTAAGCACATCGGCTGCCCTCCGTTGCGCCGTAGTTCCACAGTATTAATAGTAATAGTAGAGGCACTGTTGACGCCTTCACTGACGCACTGGGTTTTCCATTAACTCCGGGCCACACCATGAAAAGGCAGGGCAGCGCAAACAAGGCGAAATCATGACACGAAGCGACAGGGGAACGCGCGCTGTAGCCCTCACCGATTCAAAACTTACTACGGGAGCAGCGAATGGGTACCGCATCCATTGTGCTGGCAGGGTGCGCTGCTCGGGCTAGCATTCAGCGTGGACAATAGTACTTGGTTAAAAAAAACGCACATACACACAACATAAATCAAAGTTGCAATCATGCTGCCAATTGCACTTGAGTGTATCGTCTATTTCATCTGAGGACGCCCGGTGTGGTGCCTCCACGGACATGCATGCTCTGCTCCTCACAGCCACTCTGCTTCCACGCGTAATCACATGCAAGTGGGCAACAGACCCCCGTTTTTTTGTTTTGTTTTTACCTTCATCTCTTCATTTATTTCCCTTTTCACCGGGTGAGCTGGTTTTCGGCTTCTTTTATTTTCCGGAGGTCTGCCCTCTTTTTCCATCTCTGCCATGTTTTCTCTGAGATACTTCTGTCAATATTTGCGGTGAGGAGGGGTGAGAGAGGGGTGAGTGAGAGAGCGAGAGAGCGAGAGAGAGAGAGAGAGAGAGAGAGAGAGAGCGTGAGGCAGCGGCTGCTGTTTACAGTCGCCAGACGGCGGATGTCTTGCGGCTTTTCAGCGGCCTGTGTGACGCTGGTGATGCCGCCGAGGGCTTGCGGTGCCAGGCTAAATCAGCCATCTTCTGCCCGTATTCTCCGCGGTTCGTGCACCAGTGGCGAAGCCGCCTCTGTGAGTCAAAGGAGAGGTTGAGTGAGGGGGTGAAGGATGGGGGGGAGCAAAACGAGACAGGAGGAGGAGCGTGCGCTGAAACATTATATGACGCGTTGATGATCAGAGGTGGGTTATTTCTTATTCGCAATCAGGTGCCCACACACGGGTCACCCAGTCCCACATTGTTCGTCAGGGGAGTCTCACAACCTACACGGTGTTGGTTACTACGCAATTGTGGTCTTTCTATATACAGACTTCACTGCTTCCGTCTTTAAACACCACAAACTCCAGTCAAATCCGGAAGTTCCAGTGCATATGATCATAAAAAGGCCTTTTCTCTTTCAGTCTTAACCAGAGCCGCTGTGCAGGTGTATAGTGCCTTGCTCAAAGACACGTCGGTAGGTCAGTGGAGGGATTTAAAAGTCACTGCTTTATTTGTCTTGAGGTTCAAAGTTAATTTATTGTCATTGTACAAAACAGGGTTGCCAAAAGAAATGCAGTTGTATAGTGCCATTTTGCAAGACATAAGAAAAAGAAAAAAAATGTATGTTGGAGGATGAGTTCAGGATTCTCACCGGAAAGAAGCTGCTCTGTAGTCTGGTGTATACGCAGCAGATACTTCTGTATCTCTCGCCAGTCGGCAGCACAAGCTGTGGCTGGGGTGGGTTTTGTCTTTCAACATCCTTTGGGCTCTTCGCAGGCACCCCTTGTCACCGATATCACTGATGCTCTGTAGATGGGTACCGATGATGTTCCGTGTGATTTTAATCTGCACTCCTGTCCTGGGCCGTGTACATCCCAAATGCCATTTTGTAATGTTTCCAGTCGTGATGCTTTCTTGCCCCTTTGTAAAAGTAAAGAAAAGAACCTGACAAAGAAATTTTCCTTCTTTAATTTCCTAAAGGAATATAGACATTTTTAAAACTATTTTCACCATGATGTTCTACCAGTCTGTTGTGGTCAGTGCACTGTACTTCTCCGTCTGCTGGGGGAGCAGCATTGGAGCCGGAGACACCAACAGACTTAACAAACTGGTTAAGAAGGCCGGCTCCATCATTGGCTGCAAACTGGACACTCTGGAAAAGGTGGTGGAGAGGAGGACACTGAAGAAACTATTATCCATATTGGATAACCCGGACCACCCTCTCCACCACCTACTGCAGGCACAGAGGAGCACTTTCTCCAACAGACTCATCCAGCTCCGCTGTCACAAGGACAGATACAGGAGAACATTCCTGCAATAAGACTTTATAATAAATCACCTCTGGCCAGATCAGCCACACAACTATAACACTGTTACACTGTTGTTTGGTTAAATGTTTGCACTAGTTAGTTAATTCAATATTATTCTATTTCATTGTATATATTGTGCATTTTTATATTTAATATTTTTACTGTTATTTTTATTGCTTTGCTTAAAAATGTCCCTGTACCTCAGAATCAGAATCAGAATCAGAACTGTTTATTGCCATGGTATGTTGAACATAAAAGGAATTTGACATGACGGGAGGTGCGTAACATTTAACAATCAACAACAATCAACACAGTGCAAAGTAGAAACATATTAAAATTTACAGAAAGATATAAAATAAAGTAAAATATAAAATAAAGTGAAATATAAAATAAAGTGCACAAACGAACAGATAACAGGACTATAAACAAGTGAGATGTAAGTGTAGTGTAAAAATGTTGAGTGTAATTAAATAAGAACATAGTGCGGGGGATGTGCGGGGGAGTGACCGGTAGGAAATTGTCCTGGGGATGACATGTCAGAGTCAGTGGGGGACCCGGGCTCTGTTAATGAGCCCGACTGCGGATGGGAAGAAACTGTTCATGTGGCGTGAGGTCTTAGTCCTGATGGACCTCAGCCTCCTGCCAGATGGAAGGGCCATGAACAGTTTTTGTCCAGGGTGAGAGGGGTCGGCTACAATCTTTCTTGTATGCTTCAAGGTCCTTGAAGCGAACAAGTCTTGGAGGGACGGCAGATTGCAGCCAATCACCCTCTCGGCAGAGCGAATGAAGTGCTGCAGCCTGCCCTTGTCCTTGGCTGTGGCTGTAGCATACCAGACCGTGATGGAGGAGCAGAGGATGGACTCAATGATGGCTGTGTAGAAATGCACCATCATTGTCTTTGGCAGGTTGAATTTCTCCAGCTGCCTCAGGAAGTACATCCTCTGCAGAGCCTTCTTAGTGATGGAGCTGATGTTCAGCTCCCACTTGAGGTCCTGGGTTATCATGGAGCCCAGAAAGCGTAAAGGCCTCCACAGCGTCGACGGGGGAGTCACACAGGGTGATAGGGGCTGGTGGGGCTGCATTCTTCTGAAAATCCACAACCATCTCCACTGTCTTTAGAGCGTTGAGCTCTAAGTTGTTCAAACCGCACCAGGTCACCAGATGGTCAGTCTCCCACCTGTAGACGGACTCATTCCCACCAGAGATGAGTCCAATGACGGTGGTGTCATCCGCGAACTTCAGGAGCTTGACGGACTGGTGACTGGAGGTGCAGCTGTTGGTGTACAGGGAGAAGACCAGAGGGGAAGAACGCAGCCTTGGGGGGAACCGGTGCTGATGGTCCTGGAGGCTGAGACGTGTTTTCCCAGCTTGACGTGCTGCTTCCTGTCAGACAGGAAGTCTGTGATCCACTTGCAAATGGAGTCGGGCACGTGCAGCTGGGAGAGCTTGTCATGCAGCAAAGACGGGATGATGGTGTTAAAGGCAGAGCTGAAGTCCACAAACAGGATCCTGGCGTATAGTTCCTGGGGAGTCCAGATGCTGGAGGATGAAATGAAGGGCCAAGTTGACTGCATCGTCTACAGACCTGTTGGCTCTGTAGGCGAACTGCAGGGGGTCCAGGAGTGGGTCGGTGAAGTTGGTGAGATACCTATCTATCTATCTAAAGATGTGTGGTGACCATTCCATTCCATTTTCCATTCCATTATCCAAACCGCTTATCCTATTTAGGGTCGCGGAGCCAATCCCAGCTGACATTGGGCGAAGTCAGGGTACACCCTGGACAGGTCGCCAGTTTATCACAGGGCACATATCAGACAAACATTCACGCTCACATTCACACCTACGGGCAATTTAGAGTCTCCAAATAATCTAAGCTGCATATATTTGGACTGTGGGAGAAAGCCGGAGAACACGCGGAGAATGTGCAAAGTCCACACAGAACCCAGGCCCCTCTTGCTGTGAGGTGACAGAGCCATGCACTTCCGTGCAGCCCTCTGGTGACCATGTCAACGGAAAAACATTACAGCAGAAAGTCAGGAGCGTCCGGAGCAGGTGCATGATGTTGGCAGTCTTCTCAACTGAGAAAAAGCAATCAGAATAGAAGTGCAGCCTTAAAATAAATCCTTCATCACAGTGATGGAAAAGGTCCAGCACTCTCAAGGCCAAAGAAAACTTTTTAAGACTGTTGTTTTATAATGTTCGAACCATCCTGATTAAAATAAAGTTCTATTTGGCCTTCAGTGTTGCTTCTTCTACATCGGGTTGTTCCTTTAGGTAACAAAGTGCATGGCGCAAATAAGCCTCTGTTTTCATTTTGATGCCCTGCTTTCATATGAAATATGTTTGCAGGAATACTTTAGTTCAGTTATTGGACTTGTAAGAGACGAGGAAGTATTTTAAAGCTAATTCATACAGGTTTTATCACATTATTGAACTGATCAATTCACCTTAGACTGAACTCCCGTTCAGTCTAAGGTGAAAGGACAAAAAAGAGGAGTTGACAGTCCACTCTTTTGTTTTCAACACTATTTCCAATAAATAATAGTCGGTAATTTAGACGCAGACAGTACATAGCCTTTATTTATAACAGCCTGCACATGCCTCATGGAAAACAACCAGATGCATGCTATAGACGTTTTTCACAGCAGTCACTTCAGAAGCAAAGCAGTTGATAACATCAAAAACGACTGGATTCCATTTAGGTGAACTGGTTTAAGGGTCCTGGTTTTGTGCATGCTCATGGTATCCTGGCATACTTAATAGAACCTGAGCGTAGTTCACGAAATGCTGCCCTTTTTCATGCTATCACAAGTCAAACATGTCCCTGCACGTACAGTTTACATCCACATCTACATGTTTTAAATGCACATGCATTCTGATGTATGCTGTCATACGGCTGTTTTAACGTGCTTTTTGACATGACATGTTGTGACAATGTTGTGGCAGTGTCACAGCAGGATGTTTTACAGTGGGTTTCCTCAGCTAGAGGCCACTCAGTTACTGTAAAAAAGAACACACACAAAAACAGGGTCATTACTGGCATATGAAACAATTGCAGATCCCCTTATAAGTGATTTTTGCTACGGGCCCGAATTTACCTGTTTCATCTGTGTGCTACATGCTGTCACAGAATTACAATGAGTTGGCAGGTGGAGAGTGCCAGGGGGGGGGGGGGGGGGGGGGGGGTGCTGCTCATGGGACTGTGACACCCATTTGAGCTGGGAAATAGGCGGTAAAACTGGAGCTGTGAACCGTGACGCAGGGTCAGGGTGAGATGACTTGTGTGTGTTACAGTGCTGCTCCTGCCATGCCTTTGCAAACCAACAACTCGCCTGCATCGCACTGCTACTCCAGCCACGGCGGTCCGGTTTAGCGTAATATGACGGCAATGCTCCTGGTGATGCACTGTGCAGTGATGCAGGTGGCGGCATGTGTGTGAATAGGGACATGTGAAGGAAAAATACTGTTTTGTTTTTTTTGACTGTTGATTAGAATTGAAACAAAGCGTGTGTGGATTCTGGTGCACTTTTTTTCGCTGCAACTAAATATTGTTGTGACATATATTTCTAAAAACAAAAGTGCGACACTTGATACAGTTGTCCTTAAGTATACGTTAACATATAGTATGTGTGTTTGATTAGTCTACTAAGCAAAGGAAACTGCAGCATGTTACATAAGTTGTCCTTGACGCTGCCTCCAGTCCAGCAGTAAGCAGTAAGCAGAGTGAAAGCCCTGTTAGACCTAACGCTGTCAGGGTATTTCCCTATCATACTGTGGCACTGTCATATTGTAACAAGGATTGTATTACATGAGGGGGTTTTAAACACTTTGGTTAAAATGAGGAGCGAAGTGTGAGGCAGGACTGTCAATTAATACATCTAAAAGAAGAAGAAGAATTTGTGCGCACAAGTTATAATACCTGGCCTCAATTTAATTAAATTGTCCGCACGTTTTGATGAATTCACAGGGCCAAATTAAGAAATTAAATAATTTTGGCAGTGCACAAGGGCGAGTCATTCATCCCATCCGCCACCTGCTGAAGGCACCCGTCCTTGTGGTATAGCTGCGGATAGAGACCCTTTAATTAAGCTTTACTTTAGCTTGGGGATGAGTTATGAAGACACGTTGACAACACTTGCTTCGGAAGGGATTATTGTTAGTAAAAGGCAATCAACGAGAATGTTAAGAGCTCGTGGATTATGTTGATTATGCTATCGAAGTTTCCCGAGCATTCGTAGTTTCCACACAACTTTATAATTGGACGGCCCTGGAGAACTTCATGGTTACGGATGCATGAGCTTGAAGCAGGCGCACCGCACTTCACCTCTCTTCTGGCTCTCTGTACACTTATCTCGTGCGCACCAGTCAACCAAAACACTTACTTGACCTAGAGTTTTGTTTTCAAAGCAAAGCAACCCTAAATGTTTTGGCAATCGATCCATCGGGCTCTTTTGACTGTCACAGAATTTAGTGATTCACTATTTAATGAGCACAATAAGTGATTTAAACAGATCCATACATAAAAAAAGAAGTAAACTCTTGTTTACTGCTTTGTACTGGGGCACGAGTTTACCTTGAAAATATAGCACAACTGGCAAGCAGTTGTTGGTGGTGAGTGAATGCTGTGACACCTTCACAGCTGACCAGACATCTAAATAAATAATAATTGACTTGCTTTGTATTTCCACATTCATGTTGTGCAATCGTCCCCAGTGGTGGACAGGGACGACAGGTGTCAACCAACTGTAAACGTTTCTATTTGACCAGGCTAAGGGGACACTTTGTTCATCTTAAACTAGCCGAATAAAGCACTGAAAACAAAGGAATGTATACATTGATTAATTTCACGTTCTATCAGAGTGGGACTTTGGCAAAAGACAAAGCAATGTAAAAGTGTCTCACTTTCTAACGGAGTTTCGCCAGAGGTGCTCTCCTGCTTGATATAATGGGGCGTGTCCTGTCGGAATTAGGCGGAAGCCGTCATTACGTTGACGACGACGTAACGTCTTACGTATTTAAAGATGGCAGCGCGCAGTAACCGACAGGTCTTGTGTTGTGAAACAGCTAACTGTTCCCACCGTGACAGTGGGTTAGTTCTGTTATGATAGCGGATTTTACGTTTTAATAAGCGACACCAACGCGGTATTGTTTAAGAACATGTCACACCGCTAGTGGTTTGAATCTGGAGATACAACTTTTAGATGGTGGCGGGCACCTGAATGGTACTGTAATCAACCTGCAACCTGTCTACAAACTACAAAAAAAAAAACATTACAGTCAAGAGAGAAAATGTTTCCGGCCACATGGTCACGGCTGTCCTGCAAGGCTTTGTCCAGCCGAGGACTGAGGACGCAGAGTGTGCTGGCCAGCTCCGGACCTTCGGACTGGAGTAAAGTGGTCTCCGACGCAGAGAAGATCGTCGGATATCCGACCTCCTTCATGAGTCTCCGCTGCCTGCTCAGCGATGAACTCAGCAATGTTGCCATGTACGTCAGGAAGCTGATCGGGACTCGACACCCTTTGCTCAACACTGCAAGGTAACACTGCTGAAACTGAAACGGTGCTGGTTTATTCCCATTCTTAATTGCTTTTTTTTCAATAGAAGATTATTGTTTGAATCAATCAATTTTGGCATGAATTTAATCCGCCAACCGAGAGTCTTAATAAAATATACTTTAATCTTTGATCTCAGTTAATGCGTATTAAAGGCAGTAGCACTGAACAAGATGAGGATAACCAAAACAAACGGCACGTATGACATTGTGTCACAGGTCAGAGTGGTGCTCCATTATTACTGGAGCTCACTCTAACTTGTGCCCGCTCATGTAATCATCGTTTTCACTTCTGAAAATGTTGCACTGACGTGTACACTAAAATCACTGTGTAGCCACTGTTTAATGAGAAGAATAAAAACATTTTTTCCATGGCCCTGTCATTGTGGGTTGATATTTATGTTGTGGCTTACACACAAACACACTTGACCCCACCTGCAGCTGTATTCATAGTATCTCCTTTCATAATTCTATAGACATGTGGGGAAACAATTGTTTGTAATCAATAAATCAATATTTCTTTCTCTTAGTCAAGCAACAACCCCAGTCAGAGGTTGGTGTATCCGATGGTAGCTTTCAGAGTGTGTATTATTGTTTGTGATAAATGCACCGTGGTGTTACCGCGGTTAAGATCAAGTTAGAAAGGGCGTTGGTCTTCATCAGACACGGTCGAACGCAGCTCGTATCCTGATTTGTTTCACTCATGCATATCTCTCACACGCTGCTGTTGTTGTAAACGTCTAATAAGAATGACCAAACTTTACCGTTGGAGCCATGCTCCTAGGAATTCTTATCAAAACAGCCTTCATCATTTCATAACTGGGGCCGAGCAATACGACCAAAGTCTTCTCTCACAAATGAGGTCACTTTAACACCTCGATGACAATATCACGATACAGGTTCTGGTAATTTCTGGTCATTCAATAAATATACAGTCTGTATGAAATAACTGCACGGTTTCGTATACTCGTGTGCGAGTTAGTAATTGACGAATGAAAAGTGCTGAGTGTTTACTCGTATCATTTAGAACTTCAGTGCAAAATAATCTGATTTTCTGAGAAATTTTGAGTTAGCTTGTGCTCGTTATTGTCTATTTAGACAACGTGATTGTGTGTCACGATATCTCATCACAGGATTTCATCACGATCTGATCATTTTGAAATATAATAAATGATCATATTGAGTTATTGCCCAGCCCTATTCATCAAAGCTCTGGAATATAATGGAGTTTAGGTTTTAGTGAGTTGAAAGAAATGAAAAATGTTTGTTTCCCTTCTTACCATCCATCCATCCATTCATAGACAAAGTAACCTTCAGTTAACTTCAGATGCTTTCATTATGACTTTCTAGTGTGATTCAATAGCATCAATATTCTAATGTTAACTAGCCTGAAGTCTTCTTCTGCCTGTTAACAGCCACCTGTTGATCAGTAGAACAGTGTGAACCACTGGCGGATGTGTACAGTATATGTGCATGGGCAAGAAGTAGTCCGGTCTATTACTGAAGTACCAAAAGCAACAATACAACAATGTCAAAACATTCTTGTTACAAGTGTATTCAAAATACTACTTAAGGTTATTCAAGCACAGAAGTATTGGCTGTACAATGTACCCAATGTATCAAAACTAAAAGTAGTGGATATATTGTAAGTGTTGTAGCTGGTGGAGAAGTAGCTAGTTTGAACTATTTCATATGTACAGTTATCTACTAAAGTCCAGAGGCTCCCAACCGAGGGCCACAGGAGAAACCTGAGGGATCGTGAGATGATTAATGGGAGAGGAAAGAAGAAAAAAATCTTTTATTAGCTTTTTTTTATGTAAAACATTGTTTTTAATGTAACATTTTATTCTGAAAAGTAGGCCTAACTAGTAAGTTCAGCTGCCAAATACATGTAGTGTTGTAAAATAATCCAATATTTCCCTCTGAAATGTGGTGAAGTATAAAGTATCAGAAAACACTCAAACTTCAGTAGCAATGAACAACTTCATCTAGACAGAAGCAAAAGTGAAGCAGATGTCAATCAGACTAAATGCTTCCTAACGAGGAGCGTGGGGCCAATAGCCTGGTGCTGACACCGCAAGAGAACATTCGCTGAGCACTCGTTTCAAATAAGGGGAGCAAAAGCAAAAACCACGACTTGGTCCTTCTTTTTGTGAATGCTTCACTTTCAGAGAAAGATATTTTTTTCAAGCGTTTTTTCCCGTTATTAAGGGAAGTACTCTACGTCTTATATCGCCTGCATTCAAGGGAAAAATAAGACTGTTCACTGTCTCCCAGTCACCTCTTTTTTTCAGTACAAATCCACTAACATTAAATGTTCCTAAACAGACTCATGGCCATGCCATCGATATGTTTTTCTATCCAGTATTAAGCGATATTTGAGCTGATTTGTGATGCAACTGCAAAGCCACAATCGTGTGTCAACGGAGGAGGAGCTGGAACAGGTCCCAATCTTGTAAATATCATCCAATCGCTTTAGGATGGGAGTAGCCTGCAGCTCTCATGTTTTTATCAAAGAAATCAAGGAAGTCTGAGCACCGAGGGAAGAGAGCGAGAAGAGAGTCCTCAAACTTCATCCAGACGGGTGTGTTAGAAACAGGAGCCCAAGGGTGTAATAACCTATACACCTAAATTTGATATGACAATCCATTTGGGTGTTGTAGCAGGGGGAGGGGGGTTAGCATAGCTTTTGACAGTCTGACTCCTCACTGTCAGCTTGGGTTGGCTGGTTCGTATTTCCTACTGTGTCTCCGCCTCAGACGCGCGGCGGATAAAAATATCCACAATAGCAGACAGGCAGACCCTCGTGGAGTTGGGTTTCGGTGTTCCCTTTCCTTTCATTCTCAAAAAACTGCAGCTCAGCTAACTTTGCCCCAAAGTCTGGAGTTACAGCGACGGGGACCGCGGGCCCAGGAGGAGAAACTGAACTTGCTTTAAGGACAGTCCTTGAGAGTTCGACTTCCACTCGTGTTTCCTTCCAGCGGTTTCTTTTCTCACCGTTTCCCTCTGCGATCTCGATCTTCGATCAATACTGTGCCCATTACGATTAATTTTGAATGGAGCCTAACTAACCTGATTATTTCGGCCACTTTGTGGACATGAATGAATGAATGCTGAAATCAAAGATCCCCTCCAGTCTTGAGACATATGAATGGCTTTGGTTTTCTTTCGATGCCAGACCAAGTTGAGGAATATTTGCCGCGGGGACACTGATCTCCGTCAAGATGTCACAGGTAAATTGTTGCCAATCGTCAGCCTCGACACGTCTTTACAAAAACAGTGTGCCCTCTTGCTTCACCATCAACGTTTTTGATTTTACATCTACAACATTAGCTTTAAATTGTTGATTAATCATGAATATTAGAAGTTCTGCTGCTGTTGCTTGTGCCGTGCACATGCAACAACAGTTATTTCATTGACTGACGGAAGGTAATGTGCCGAGAAAAGCAATGGAAAGACCTAGCAAGCAAACATGGTCGTAAAGCGTGCAGGTATTAAGATAGTATGATAAGATAATACACACAATGCATTTTGGTGAGTAAGACAGAATATAAACAAAAGTTGAATACAAGAAAACTCCACAGGACAACTTTTTGAAAATATTAAAAAAGAAATCACTGTATCTGCTTAACAGAAGCAAACGCCCCCTTACTGCTATGACGTTGCTAAATCCTGATTGGTGCATGGAGGGGACATCGCTCCTTTTCTGGCTAAGCCCCGCCCACTTCATTACCAGTGAGAAGAGCGCGGAGAAAAGCGTAAGTCCATAAATCTCCGAAGTGAAACAACCAACATCGTTTGAAGAAAACTATGCGTTGGATCATTTCCTTTCGCTAAATGTGTTTCCAGAGTCTTTTAAAACCAACTCCTTGTTATCAGGGCCTTTGCGAAGTGTTTTCAAGGCAGGAGGCACAGTCCTTCACCATAGAAGAAGAACCACCTGCTGGACTCCAGGTGCTTTGGAGTCATGAGAATCAACTCCTGGAGACTGGAATAAACGCATCATGACCGTGTATAAAGGTATCTGCAATGCACAGTAGAGACGAACGCATTGCTTAAAATCTGTCCTCAAAGAAAAGTGCAGGCGTATTGGGCACATTCATTCTTCTTTCAATACTTAAGAGGCAGAAAGGATTAATACGCCACCACACACACACACACGAGGTCATACATTTGCATGCATTACTTCCGGCCCCTGCACTAAAGTTCCTGAAATTCCTGTGCTGCAGTTGCGGATCAGAAGGCGTGGTGACCTGTTCACAAACCTTTTTAAAAAGACAGCAGCCCATTTCTCTCTCTCTCTCTCTCTCTCTCTCCCCCCCCCCCCCCCCCCCCCCCCCCCCCCCCCCC